AGCGTGTTACATGGTTGACCCCTTCAAGGTTCAATCCCCAACACAGTCTTTGCTGGACCAGCAGTTTGTTGGTCAACACAGAGCAACCACCCATTCAACTGCACTTCCCAGCACACCAGTGAATGATATTTGGTTGCTATATATTATATAGCAACATATATAGAGGAGAGATGATAGATAGATAGATAGATAGATAGATAGATAGATAGATAGATAGATAGATAGATAGATAATATATATACATAGGATATTTAGTTGGATACGTGACAGATATTTGGTGGCTTAAACAAGAAGACTTTTTTCCCCACAGCACCTTGGTGCCGGGGAATAGCAAGAGCAGAGGTAATCACTAAGAAAATTCATGAGGATTCCTAAGACTGAGATACCCTGAAGAGCCCTGACTCTTGGGGTCTTCTATGGTGCTGGACTCCCAAGGCCCTTGCACAGCCAGTCACTGTGCATAAAATGCAGAAAAACTCTAAGTAGAGCAAGAAATATAATAATGGGAAGGACTGGGACCATGCCAGCCTCATCTCTTGATGTATTTCAAAGGCACTAGGTGTAGACCTGCCTAACCAGCCTGCCTTCAGCACACACTTCATCTGGCAGAATTTTTTCAGTTTTGTTGCCTCTGGCACTTTGATTTTATCTTTGGGAAAGAAAATGGTGAAGTAAGAAATTTCAGCAGAAATATTATACAGAGGACAAATCTTTGCACAAAATCATAGCCACTAATGAAAACACTCCCCAGGTAGTTTGTTTATTCTGTACATTGAATCTGCAAGCTATAATCTAACATCACAGGTGTAACCACCACAGTCACAAACACAACATTTAAATCTCTTTATAATGATGAGGAGCTGGGCGTTGAAACCTACAAAACCTAAGACATGGTTTGGCCTGACCTCTCTCAGGAACTGCCTGAGAGAACAGCTGCTCTGTTGTTGTAGGCTCCAATCTGTAGTTAGGTTGCAGGCTCACAATTACTTGTGTCTAGACAACCCCTGAAAGGCTCAGAAATTCAGACCACTGTATCTGATAACTCTTCTTATAGGACACTTCATCTTCTACTTTCTAATGAAGCCTTTTCAAGAATGATTTTCATTCTGCACATACTGTGAAGGCTATTATAGATTAAATGTCCAGGCAGTCCTACCTTGCTCTTAAGAATTAGCAATTACTTTTGGAGGGAATTATGGCCTAGATTTTCATAATCACCATGTAACTCCACTATAACTCCAGTAAATGCAAAGCAGTTTTTCAGCACTTTCCTTAGCATCAGCAGAAAGTTACACTTCGTGCATTTCAGTAGGTCTCTTGTAAAAACTGTCCAATTTTGTGTGATAGCAGCAGAGCTTGCAGACATCAGCTCATAAGAAAACGGCTCTGGGAAGAACATAAGAGATTACTTATTCCATCTCCACCATCTAGACAGTCTCACATAGACCTGGGTCATTATTAGAAGGTGTTTTGCTAACTTGCTCTTCTTTCTGAAGAAAGAAGGAGGCTGTCTCCCACAGCAGCCTGGCCCACAGTTTGTTTTTCCTGTTAAAAAGGTTCTCCATGCTGTTTAAACTAAAACTTTCTCTCTGCAATTTATTCACCTGGTTCTAATCTTACCTCTTATGGTCACAGTGCAATAATTACTCTCCTGAGTGTTCAAGGGCTTTTGAAATAGCTAGACATAGCTGAGAGAGAAATATCTTAACCACACCCCTACCTCCCAAAGCTTCAAGGGACTCTAATTCATTCAGTCTTCCCATGGTGGCTGAACTTCCCAGACAATTCTTGATCTCTGCCCCCAGGAGCCCCACAGTCAGAACACTGGTTTCCTGTCACAGATTTCAACAAAGCATGGCCAGTAGCTTACAAAGGCACCATATGTCTCCCAAGTGTATTCTTGTTTATACATCACACTCTGTTGTTTGCTTTTTTGTACCTCAGTCTGTCATTGTTGACTCTCACTGGTTGTTTACAGCAGCATGTTCTGCTCCTGAACATCCCTCACAGAGTCACCCACACTGCACGGGACATGGAGCAAGAGGTTTGTGTTCAGGCCAAGAAAATGCTACTTGAATACACATAGGAATGTTTTGTGACCTGTGAAACATGTCAGCTTGCAGAGTCAGTTTTGCTGCCTCTAGCACAGAATACTGATCTACATGTTGATTTAGCAGTAACAATCCAACACTTACTGCAATAAAGTTCTGCTCTTTCTCCCACTCTTCTGTTCCTTCTTCCACACAGCCAGCTTTCTCATGTCTCAGACAGACTCACATCCCATTGCCAAAGGTATGTTTTGGCCAGAGACCAGGCTGGCTGCCTCCCCAGGTGGGAGACAGCCGCTCTTATGCCTGGGCATTGGGGTGAGACTGTGCAAACAAGTGCTCTCTGCCAGGCAGTTCCTGCTCCAGGCAGCCGCCTTTGTTCTGCCCCTCTCCTTGTCACCTCATGCCTGCTGCTGCTCAGCTCTGCTTGCAGTTCACATAACTTGTTTTCAATCACCTCCAAGTAAAATGGCTGTGTTCAAACCTCCTGCAAGCCAGATGTGCCCCACTGGTTGCCAGGTGAAATGTGCTAATCTAGAGGGACTTGAAGTTTAGGATTGCGTTAGAGTGTTCCTGTGTATGACCTTGTGCAGCATTATCCCAGCTCTACTTCTTGCAAAAGAGTAAAGTCGTTATGAATGAATGGAAAAAGAATGAAACCAGAGAAGCAGCTGAGGCAGAGCCTTGTTTATCATACCAGGCTTTGTTTTCTGTAAAATGTGGAGTCTCGTATTCCTTTGGTGAGAGGTAGCACTTTGAGACCACACGCTGTGCTTCCTCACAAAGAATTCACACCTTTTTTTTGCTTCTCCTGTATCCTGTAATAAAATTCTTTTAAACTGTGGTTGGTCTCTGTGTGTTGGAAAAATGGTGGATGGAGTTGAAAAAGGAACCATGAAAGCTGTAGCATTCAATCTTAAGTGGAACAAGCAGAATATGTAGCAACGGCAAAATCACTCCTTACAACTGTCTCAATAAAACTTCATGTTGCTGAACAGTAAAAACATTTGTGTTTTTATTATTCTAAGACTCAATTAAAATCAAGAACAGAAAAATGACAGACGTAAACTGATCAAGGACAATGATCATACACACAAACGAGACACATTTATCATACTGACACTCATCTAACATCCAGCCACCCCATCTTTAAATAATCACTATGGGGATGATGCACAGTTCATTCCTGAAATCAAAGTGTGAACTATAAGGGAAAAATCACATGGCATCTTGCTGATACATGCTCTTGTACTGAACTTAGAATACAATGTACAGAGAGACCTCTGGCTTAATTAGCTGCCCACTGAGCTAGAGTTGGCTTCTATCTTTTTTCTGCATATGAAACCACAGAGCTTTCTTAGTACATTATTTCCATATGTGTTTATATTGCTATCTTTGCCACTTGATCCAGCATTTTAAGTGATCATTCCTGTCTAAAAAAAATACAACAAAATGTCTATCCACTTACCTAAAGTATCCATCAGCTCAGTCCTCCCTTTCCATGAGTGTGAGCCAGAAGACTCCCCAGGAAAATCCATACAGTCTCCCTGGTAGGCGGCTGTTGAGAATCAGATCAAGAGGCTCTTTCTTATGTCATTTTATTCCTCTTTATTAGGGATATGATTTCTCATTCTTTGCTTCAGATGTATTAAAACCCTCACTTACCTAAGTAGCCATGCCTAGGATCGTGGCTGGTTTGCAGACATGAACACCCAGCTAGGGCTGGACAGGCATGTGCTGGCACAGCACAAGGAGCAGGGTACTGCAGCCTGAGCGTGAGCACCACCAATGAGCACATCGTAAGCGTGGGCTCACAGCTCTTTTAAAGTGTCCATGGGGCAGGAGAAAGATGAATCACCACTCATGCACTACTTACACACGCATCTGCCCAACACTTCTTGTGTAGGAAAGGATGGTATGTATGTCTGCACAAATATTTACACTTAAGCTCCGGTTGCTTCTACATTTTAGCATTCTACATTTAGCTTGCTCCAAAACCACTTTTCTAGAGACTGGTCTATCATCAGAATATCTCATGTTCCAAATTTGCTTTATTTAGACTATTATCAATATCGAAACAGAAAAAAATTATGAAAGAAAGCCTTAATCAAGCCAATTCTCTTACCACAGAAAGCTATTAGGTTGGTTAAAGATTATTTCAGCTTCATTTCAGCTTTCATAAAGCTTCATAAAGATTATTTCAGCTTCATAAACTTGTCTGTGCTAACAAGTTCCAAGTGTTTTTCACTCATTCTGGGTTTGAGCTGATAGCTATTTCTCCATGAGAACAGAGAAGATTTTAGTCTTGACAGGTCATAAATGCTCGGAAGGATCTGTGAGACATGAGCACAGAAATGGCCACTGAATTTATAGGAGAGATGGTCAGGGCAAAGAGGTAAGTCAGGCTGAGCAGATCCTGACCTCAGAGCTGAAATGGGCCAGGAAGCTCTTTCAAGGGCAGGCAGGAGGAACAGCAAGAGAATTATGAAGAAAATTAGGAAAAGACAGTGTCATGGAGACCAAACTTCTAAACCATGAAAAATGGCAGTTTAAATAGCAGGTCACCCAAAAAAAAATTCTGCACATCAATTCAATTATATTTGCATAAAATATTTTGACATAAAAATTTCTTGGCGCGCTTTTACTTCCACTTAGCAATTAGCAATTAGCGCTGTACCTGGATGATTTTCTCCTTTTCAACAAAAGTACAGTTCCTCATGTTCTCCATGACCACAAGGGGTCTACCTGAACTGAGCTCATCACACAAGACTATTTATGCTACCTCTTTTACAGATACCAGCAAACTTTGCAATAACTTCATGTTAAACAAAATAGTAGACTTTTAAATTGAGGTGACTGTTTACAGCCTAACCAGAGAAGCCACTGTTGTAATACTTTTTGAAAATTTTATTCATATTATTGAATTCTGAGCTTAAACACAGATGAGGAAACCTCTAAAAAGTGCTGAGGTAGTGGTCAGCAGTGTACAGAAACTGTGATATACTATAAGTAGCTGTATTGTTAAACAAGCAAACATTAGACAGATGTTATTAAAAGTCATCTTTAATAGCATTTAAAAATAGCTATTGCAAACTTTATTTGAAGAAAAATAAACGAATTACAATCTTCCAAATTCCTTTGAAACAGTCTAGTTCCTTAACATTTGCTTTATTACTTGAAAAGACAGAAGCTATTTGCATAGTTGGCATGTTAGTTCAACTCTGTTTGCTCAAAACAGCTCATAAAAGCATTCTTTTTCTATGATTTCTGATTTGATCAAAAGTGGAAATGTGATTGATGATATTAACTTAGATCAAATTGGGTATCTGACTATGTCACAAGGTAGTCAAGAATTTTAGTTCAAATTGTTTAAGGTCTGATATGGAAAAAGAAGAGATGTGCCAATCAGTAGGACATTATACCTGCTTATATACTTCTGCTGATCCAGCATATTTTTATTTTCTTCTTTGTATTTAGTATCCCATTCAACCTAACAAAACTAAAAATCACATCAAAAAAACCCAGTTCATACTATAACATTTTAAGATATAAGCAATGCCCATGAAGTTTTTGGGTAGCTACTAAGAAATACAACAAATTATTTGAATTTAAAGATAAACCTTAAACTGGAGTACTGGTGAATCAAATGCAGTATATAAGGCATTAATGCTCATACCTATCTGAAAACAAGCTATGTATAGGAAAAATTAGACTAATCTAATACAGCACACTATCACCCTTTATTGCATTGCATAGAACAGCAATAGAGCAATGGCATTTCCATTTGGCACACAGAAATACAGTAAAATTAGTAAGAAACAGTATGGAAGTGAAATATTTTGATATGGGGAAAAGGAAACAACTGCTGTTATATTTTACAGATAAATTAAGGATCTAATTTCAAAATCTTCAGATCATATAGACATGGTTCACTGCATAAGAACTTCTGAAGAAGAACATAGAAGAAGAAATGTTATAACAAAAATAATATTAGTCATTAGTATTAAAATTGAATCCTCTTTCTTAGCGTTTCAGACAGAAAAATTATGCCATTAGGCACTAGCTGCTTTCTAATATATTCTTTCCTAAAAACAGAACATTACACAGTGTTGTTGGTTTGGGCACTGTGAAGATCTTGTGTTTTTGCACATACATTGCACACTGCAGAACACTGCAGCCTAGAACAGCTATGTTATACGCACCTGCTTTCTGCAGGATTCGGCTAAAATCAAATGCTGTCAGTATTCATACCAACAAGAACAACACATTCAGAGAAATAGTGCTAGGATAATATTTTGATTACTGAATAAAGCCAATTTTTGTATTTTAGGTTTGACTGTCAACAGTGACTTTCAAGGCAAAAGAGAGGCCTGAAATATAAGGACATGGAAGTGTTGGAGCGAGTTCAGAGGAAGGCCATGAAGCTGATAAGAGGACTGGAGCACTTCACCAGGGTAGATTCCCCTGTGAACACAGGCTGGGAAAGTTGGGACTGTTCACCTGGAGAAGGGAAGATTGTGTAGAGATCTCACAACAACCTTCTAGTGTCTGGAGGGGGCCTGCAGGGAAGCCAGAGAGGGACTCTGAGGAACTGCAGCAACAGGACAAGGAGCAATGAGCTCCAACTGAAAGAAGTGAAACCTAGGTTAGATATTAGGGATTTTTTTACTGTGAGGGTAGTGAGACATTGGAACAAGTTGCCCAGGGTGGGTGTGGGTGCCCCAGCCTTGGCAGTGTTCAAAGCCAGGCTGGGTAAGGCTTTGAGAAACCTGGTCTAGTGGGAGGTGTCCCTACCCACAGCAGAGGAGTTGGAACAAGATAAGCTTACAGTCCAGTCCAACTCCTTCACATTCTATAATTCTGTGAACACTGGATCTGCTTCTCATGCTTCTCCTGCACCCGTCTGGCCACCTCCTCCTTTTAGCCTATGCCACTGATGTGCACAAGCCACAAACTCCTGCTTGTGAAGTGAACAGGTGCATGGGGTATGGAAGCTAGCTGGGAATACCTGCACTGCTTCTGTTTGATACAAGTTGTGCCAGGGGAGGTCCAGATTGGATATTAGGAAAAATTTCTTCACTGTTAAGCATCAGAACAGGCTGCCAGTGGAAGAAGTGGTGTCACCATCCCTGGGGGTATTTAGAAAGAGTATAGATGTAGCACTTGCAGACATGATTTACTTGGTGGACTTGGCAAAGCTGGCTTAATGGTTGGACCCAACGATTTTAAAGGTCTTTTCCAACATAAACCATTCTATGGTGGTGCCATGCTGGGAACGAAACCGGCCCAGCCTGCAGATTCTGAGGTGCTCTAAACCTGTTAAGCAGCACTCATTCCCTGTTCTGTACTACAGCATTTAGTATAGAATATCTCTAAATGACACCCACATTGAATCCTGTAGAGAAACCCTCAGCTAAGATCATGGATGACAGCAGAGGCAGAATTTGGAGGAAACACCTTTAAAATACATTATAGTTTTGTTTCAGACTCAATCCTAAATAAATGGCTCCTATTGATTCAATAGCATATTAAGGGCCCTAGACAGACCATGTCCATTGACAGCCTGTAGCTGAAAAGGGCATGGGAAATACCAGCGTACACTCAGACTTCAATGAACAGCAGAAATGTTGAGACAATACATGAAGACTCTCTCACAAAATACATTTTCATGACTAATTTTAGCATCACTCCTTAAAACTCCTTGTAGAACTTATTGCTAAAGAGTTCCAAAAGGTTTTTTGCTACAAGATTTCCTATTATTAACTTCAGTGGGAGCATGGCCTACCCTAACATCCAAAATGGGTGTTATAGAGCAATGGGGATAATATATATGCTGAGCATTGGTGTAAAGATTCCCACACAATGGTGAGGAAAATAAAAAAAAAAGTCACTATGCCAAATAATATTCCACTCACTGCCACCACAGTACAAATTTTATCCTCCGTAACTCATTCAAAGCACCAGGCACTACTGCAAAGTGACTGAAGGCACTGATGCAGGAATGTTAAAGGCCACCTAGTGTAAACATTTGCTTAAAGTCATACAGTGTACATGGTTTCTTTAAAATAGCTTGAGACAGATGCAGATTTGGATGTCTGCAATAAAAAGCCTTCTGTATAGAATAAAGTAGAATAAAAGAGGATGTTTATTCACTGACTCCAACAATTTCCCTGACATGGTACATTATAACTGATGATTCTTAATACAGTGTGCAAGGCAGCCAAAAGTAATTTAAAAACATGTGTTGTTTGTCTCAAAAACAAATGTAAGGGAATACTAGTAAAAGCTGCACTGTCCAAAACTCAACTAAGCAGTTTAAATCTGTTTTTCTTGGAGGATTTTCAGGAAGACTGGACTGCATGCAAAACAGAACTAATTTATTCCTATGTACTGCAAAAGAGAAATTTATCTCCAGTACATCTTGTCTAGAAAATAAGTCCTTTTATCCTATCATTAATCAGGTACCAATGTCCCTATCAGAAGCCCTGCATATAGTAAAATCTGGAAGTATAAGAGCTTTGGGATTTTGAAGTTATATTAAAGGGAGACAAATGACATGTCAAGTCTGCTGTTCTCAAGGACAAGAGAAGACCAACTTTCATAGGTCACAAGAAAATCAAACCCACAACAAAACGCATCTCAGTTCAGATGAGAATTTTTTCCAGATCTTACCCTTGGCACAGCTGGATTTAGACTCCCATAAATGAATAAAGGATTTTAGATGCAGAGATGTGTTTAATTCTGTATCTTCATTCCTCTTAGCTTTGGAGCTATGTAACCCAGTGAATGACTTACAGAGGGTGAGATCCTGCATCCATCCAACTGACTAAGCAGTGTGTTTGGCATCAATAAATACATTACTTCATGTGGGTCAGAGCAGCACACACACTCTGCTCCGGCACTAATTAACTACTCAAAAGGCTAAATCCAAAACACACCAAGGACAAGTGAAAAGCATGAATGATCACAAAGAACCAGGACTAAGCTCTGCCTAAGAAACAGGACAGAACCCCAAATATGTGAAAAACATTGTAAATTCCAAAAACAGGTGAAGTAAAACAAATAACCTCATCTAAACTAGTTCTGCAGTTAAAACCTATACCTAGGTAATAGAAGGCACCCCCAGTCCAGGAAGTTCAGGCCTCTTCCCATGCTAAAATGCAAAATTTCCTTTCTCAACAACATTACAGATTAGCATAAATACAAAAATATACATTTTAAGCAGTAGAAAAAATGTAATGAAAATTAGAAATTGCTTGAGGAAAGTGACTGCCATATTATTACATGTGCACAAAACCACACTCCGTCTAAAAAGGGTAAGAAAGAAAGGGAATCAATAGAAATTAAAACTTCCACCTCTCTTAGCATGACAGCTATTAACTTCATTTCAGTAACTATGATTGTAACAGCTTGGCTGTCTTATCAAAAAGAAATAAGCATTAGATATTACAGGTAGGGTACAAGAAGGACAGACTGGCTGCCAGACATGGAATGCATTCATACACTCACTCAGGAGCAACAAGCTCCCAAGCTCACACTTTCCACACTCACAGAGATCTGTAATTCTCCCCATGTGCAAAGAGCAGGTTTGGATGTCAAAGTGGCTGCTACTTTTCACCATCCCTCTCCTCCATTCGACTTCAGCAGAGCACTTGATCATACATGGACGTGGCTAAAGTAAAGTAAGCGTGTGAACTGTTTGGCAGGACTGAGTGCATATGCAGCCCATGCCTCTTAAAAGCCTCTCCCACCACCAGCAACAGGGGCACAGATGGCATCCAGGGCCACCAACTCACATGGCACTGAGAGCAGTAAACAACTGTTTGGGGTATGCCACCTGAACTGTTGACAAAGTGATGCTGAAAGCGCAAGACATAAATGATGCCCCAGAGTGACATTTCTAGGAGACGTCAAGAAAACAAGAACAGGCTCAAAGCAAACTTCCTTCATCTGGCCATAAAAATATGCCAGCTGACACCAGCATTCTCACACGGAAAGAGAATTGCATTTGTTTCTGAATAACCCTGGAAAAATGAAATCTGATAAACAGACTTTATCTTTGACACGTTTACAGTAACAAGCCTTTCAGAGCAAAATGCATGAGAACATCCTGAGGCGTTATTTTCAAGCATTATTAGCTTATAAATTGACAAAAAAAAATCCACCTACCTGCTCTGTAATGATTCAAAATTAAAAAAGAAGACTGACAACTTTCTGGAGCATTCAGCAGTTTGTAAATGCAGTACTTTTTGGCTCTTGGAGCTGCTTTGAAGCCAGCTCCTTCTTTTTTTTCATATTATTCCCCATGAGAGCACATAGAGAAATTCAGTATTAATGTGGAGCATCACATCTTCAGAACAGAACAAAGTGAGTTCTGATACCAAGCTCCTATCACTGCTTATCAACACCCTAATGGAGAAGCAGATAGTGTTTTGGAAAAGCATGGTAAACTAACATCCCTAAAATACAAGCACAGTTGGACGCTGGGGTAAAAATAAAGTGGGAATGTGGAGCTAAGCTTACTTTTTATCACACTGCTTTCTCAGTAACTCTGTGCTTCTTCAGAAAATAAATTCAGTATGAAACTAACATTTGGAAAGCTTTTCCAGCAGACACTCATAGAAGTTTTCTGGCACAGCCAGACATTTACCATATGGGCCAGCCCAGTTCTCCCTGAACACAGCAGGAGTTTGGTCATGGTAATCACTAAAGACGGGCTGGTATCTGAACATAAAATTTTCTTTGGATAATTTACGGAAACCTTAGATGTGAAACATAATCTGTTTCCTTTTACAGCACCCAACTGCACAGCAAGTTTGCATGAAGGACAAAGAGTACACAGAACAAGGAGGCCAATGAAGAGTGCTGAAGCAAGGCTGCAGAACCATCTCGGTGGCAAAGGTTGCAATCACTTTCACAGAAGTCACAAGAGGTTACACTTTGCATTACTTCTGAATTATAGCTTCTCACTGCTCTTCTTCCTGTTCAGAAAGGTTAGTTAACATCAGTTAATAAACTTCTGAAAATTAACCAAGAACCCAGCTTCAAAAAGAAATAATTTTTAAAGGATGCACTAAACTCTGACACAGAGCTCATCATACACTGCAGAACACTTCCCAGATATTTAAGCCCAGCCATTACTCATTTTTCTTCACCCAGAACTTCTCAATATATTCAGGCCAACACCTGGTGAAAGGCACAATTTCATGACTCAGTCTCAACTGTTAAACACAATCTGTTCACAAACCTTGGACAAATATTTTAAAAGGAATTTTGCCCCTACCTACATGACAAAGGAACTCAGATGCTTTACCTGGCAAGTTGCTGGCTATAACATTTAAGAGCCAGGTCTCTCCTGACTGACTCTTTCTCTCACTATCATGTATGGAAGCACCAGCTTCCTGAATCTGGGACTGCTTACCTCACCTAGGTCCTGCTCATGTATTTTACTCTCCCATTCTCTGAAGGGCTGCTACAGAGCCAGACTAGAAGTCTGAAAAATCATTTCAGAAATATCAATGCATGGAAATTGCTCACAGAACAAGTTTTTGCAAAGTTTCTTCCTCATAGTGGGGTTTTTTCTCTTTTTTTTTTCCTTCCAACTAGAGACCTTGTAACTTCTTTTTTTTACTAGTGGAATTTTTTAACTAAAATTATTTTTGTTTTCTTTACAAGCCTCAGGGTATTTAAAAAACATGTAATTTTATAGGCCAAAATATTTACCAAACAGTGACACCCAGTTAGTTATAAAATGTCAGGTAAGAGAATACTGCTGTACTGGCATCCAAGCCAGCTCTTACACATATGTCAGTTGCACTATCTGCCACAACAAAATCACATCTATCAATAAATGCCAGAGCATTTCCTAGCTCTGAATCTGACATGAATCTGTCATCATCACATAAAATATAACCCTGCAGCTTGGGTCACCAACTACAACAGTGATGGAAAATAATAAAGTAAAATAATGTCACATTCCTGTATTAGACAGGAAGAAATTCTCCCAGAAGAACTCAATCACAGCACATATATATATCTGTTGATCAATAATATATCTGTGCTATATATTCATAGGAATGGTGTTCTTTAAAATGGTATTTCCACAAACCATTATCTTGAAATTAAAGAAATTACAGCACTGATTATGTCATATAAATTTTGGTCCTTAATGTAAGTTTGCTGAGAATTTATTAACTAAATTTATTTAAATATAATAAAAATATTTACATGTGCATTTACCTGTAACTTTACAACAAACATATTTATTAGCCTATCTAATAGCATTCTTGTGAAAGATTAGATCCTGAACTCTTCTCCCAGGAACTGGAAATTCATTTCAGCCACACATTTCAGGCTTATGTGTTTCTGTCAAAAACTTGCTGTAAATTTTTAAGCCTCTAGCCCTTAAACATGCTCTAATTAATGGACAGCGTACTTATAACCGTTAATTTCCTATTTTACTTTAAAATTCTGTGAATGAACAATAATTTCAGCCTACATAGAAGAATGTGATCTTCATCTAGCTGAAGCAGCACACATCATATTAGGTTGTCTTTTGCATTGAGCTAAAAAAGCATGGAAAAATTGCCTATACCACTTTTTTATTCCTTATCTCAAAACAAGCCCAAATCCTTAGTAATGTACCAAGTGGTTCATGTAATGAAAACCTGGTATCTTCTCCAGCAGCCTGTAATTTTTTCTTGCTTTTAATCTTACCAAAGAACTTTCCTGCCCATCTCTAAAACACACTCAACACAACACATACTACATAATACATATAATACACTCATACACAACAACAACAAACAAAAAACAAACGAAAAGCCACCAAAACCACAAGCAAACCAACCTAAAACCCCCTCCCCCCCAAAAAAACACCTTTGAAACTCCTTTTTCAATGTACACCTTTTTTAGGTAACAACAGAAGTCAAAACATTGGCATTTTTTCCCATGAAGGACTCTTAGTTTAAGAAAGAAAGAGATGGCATAGCTACTCAAGAGGTAATTATTGACTCGGTAAGTGAATCACAGTGAAGCTCCTGCTTTTGATAGTTTTGGGAACACGCTGGGCCAGAAAATTTGCAACAGCTGAGGAATCAACCCATTAGGACAATAGATATGAGAAAATACTACTTGTTAGTAAATTGGGCATGCAAATGTCCAAAAAGAGTACAGTTCAATGCAGCTTTTTCTTCACTAAAATTTCTCCTCTTCCTCTACAGGAAGAAACTTTCTTTTAAACTTCTGAATAATTAAGTACCATTTGAAATGACTGACACTTACTAGGTTCATAGTAATCCAGTACAGTCACTGAAGCATCTTGGATATTTGCCACCTTGAAGTCTCTCACAGCTGGAATATCCACACAAACCTGTGTTTCATTTAGCTAGAAAAACAGAAGAGAAACATCCTGAGAACCCTGGGGATGGTGGCTTCATGGAGGAGCTAAGGACTTTAGCTCAATGGTAGTCCATTACTAAAGGCTTAAGAGTCAGGATGCATATAAAGATGATTATCTCATTTGCAGTAATTTTGGTCAAAATAGAGAGTTCATGAAATGTCTGCCTTCTTATGTGTGATTTTTAAGAGGCCTAATTCAGAAACCCCTTACAAATACAACTGAGTTGCACCTATCCAATCAGTCTCACTACAAAACAGAACTATTAATTCCATGTAAATAGCAGATGTTGATTTCCCCAAAGAACACAATCATAATGTCTTTCCAAATTTAAGCCTAACAATATCAGAGTCAAGATTAAAATCACCACAAACACATTTCTTTGTTATTTCCAACTTACAGAGTCGAAGTATAGGTTGACTTTTCCATTATCTTTTTCCGTCTTCTTGACTGTATTGTCTAATGGAACAAAATCTGGTGACACAGAGAAACCACTGAGTAAGCCAACCTCCATAAGGACCATACCACTACTGGGAGCCGTGCCAGAACCAAAGTACCTTTTCAAAACACAGAGAAAAAGAAACTTTCAGTAGAAATACAGTAGCACACTCTCCAAAGAAAACATTTGATCTTTAAGTTCCAGCTAATGAAGTAATAATGCTTAATACTTAGGAAACAAATGGAACAAAATACTGACAAGAAAATGTCTAATGATAAAGAGCTAATAATTAATTTCTCAATTATTTTTCCAGGTAATTTTAGCCACATATGCAAAAGCTGGTTTAGCGCTGAGAAAACTGCAATACGTAAATCATGTGAGAGACTACACTGACACCATGAGGAACTTTCAATCGGCATCTATTAGTACAGGTTTATGTTACAAATATGCAGAAACTGTTGCAATTAAACACATTTCAGAAAAAGCTATTAAGAAACTTCTGTAGGAATTCTTGTACTGAAATATAGGCATTTCGTCTTATGAATGCATTGTTTTGCTTTTATTCATTTTGGAGGCCAAGATACAGATGTATACACCAAAGAAGTCTCCCAGACCTTTTCATATTTCCTGCACAGAGACTGATGATACCATTAACAAAGTCATCACCAAATTATTTCACAAAGTTTCCATTTTAGAATGCATAGCCATGTTATTAATCCACATTTGGAAGAATATTTAATAAGCTGAGTCCCTTCTCGTTTCCTAAATAATGCTTACTATTATATCTTCTTCCAATGTGAAAACCAGATGCTGGAGTAAAAGTTACTTTGCACACTATGGTGCATAACAGATGTATCAAAATATATTTATGGTGCTCTTGTGCTACAAGTGTCACCTAAATGAACTGCAAAAGATTCTACTGCTTTAAATAAAGCAGGTAGCAGAAGAGTTTCCCCTGCCTTAGCATGGAAGGTAAATGATTATTCCACTAAGATAGAAGTGTCTCCAATCCTCATTTCAAAAGGCTAGCAGTATTGAAAATAATTAAACTATTTCTTTGTAGAGCTGGGTAGTCAAAAAACAATAAAAGGGAAGAGTTGCTTTCAAAGCAATGCTGTTAAGCCTGGCTGATTCAAGGCAGATACAACTTTGAAAGAAATACAGTACAACTGCTGACTTCAGTTGGCTCACAAGATTAGAAACAAATGAAACCATCTGTTCAACTATGTGCTGTGCCAAGGTAGCTGCTTGAAAACAAATAATTGAATTGGAACTGGATATAACTATTTCTGCATAATTACCAATAAGAGGAGAGTAAAATAGCTGCCTAGCCAGCCTGGGGTGCTACTAAAATACCAACAGGGAACCAAACTATCTTGGTACTGTCAAGGAGTGAGTTAAATATATCCCTAGAATTTATGAGGATCTGGCTCTCAAAAACGGAAGAGAGGCAGCCTTGGAGGGGGGTTGTGGTACCATCACTTCAACTCCATGGTCTCTTAAAAAAAGGGAAAAAATCATCACGCAAGAATGACCAGTGAGAGAAAGACAGACTTGAAACTTGTACATGAGGAAAACGGATAATATTTTCAGATGAACTTTATGTTTCGGCTCGTCAGCAATATGAGATCAGGGTGAGACCCTCTCACAGATGATACAAATAAGAGAAAACAAAACCAAGCTAGTGTAGGCAGAAAGCAGAAATGAGAGAGTAAATTGAACCATCAATGATCATTTTCCCATGTCTGAAAAAGGTATGTAGGCAGTAAGACTTAGAAAAAACTACCAGTCCTGGGTATTTGCCTCTCAGAGAGTGTGTTACCTTCTCCAACCAAGAACCACTTTAATTTGAATGAGACATCATCTTCTCTAGTGTCATAATACCAGTTAAGAAGACCATAGCCAACCCCTATCAAGCTGGATAAGAGAAGCTGGATATTCTCCAGATTAAAGAAAAGAAAAAAACTGTGAAGTTGAAGCCTTCAGTACCTATGTATATCCACAGGTAGATGCATACCCACAGCTAGACTATACATACCCACTCGAGATTTCAACAGCCTTTCTGTATTGGTTTCTCTACTAGAAAGCCACATCATGTTATAAAGATCATAAGTAGGTGAACTTTAAACTAATTTAGGAATATAGATAAGGCATATATTATATACAATTTATAGGGAAGAGGAAGATGACTAATCCACCAAGCTCAGCAATCAGAGATGAAGCCATAGCCTAAGCAATTTAAACAGACTTCCTCAAAGTACCAGTCCACTTCCCACAATAAGAGTTGATGGAACTGATTTTGGAACTAACTAAAAGTTCCAAGTAGTCTCTTGAGGCTGCTTTTCAATGTCACTAGATTTCCCTCTATTCTTTGAACACTTAAGCAATTAAAGCATCACCACCCTAGAGGATGCCCAGAGAGATGGAGCGCTTCTTCTCTCTATTTTAAGCAAAAGGTCTTAGCTAGAGAGCCAGATTGCCCAAAACAGACTTACCCCAAACCCATCATGTAAACCCTTTACATGTCAGGAGTTTGTGCTAGACTTTAGAATGCTGTTGAGACTTCATAAAAGAGTTTAAAAGAGAACAAGCCCCTTCTGTTTCAAGAGCTCTCATGTATTCTAGTGTCTCTGCCCACCATCTGTGTCACTGAACTGGATATTAGAAACATATAAAAACAGAGCTCTGGCTTTATGCCTGCTGGCTATTTCCCAAATTAAATCAATGCTCTGTACTGAAATCATACTCTCTATAGCTGATTATTTGTATGATGGTGTCACCTACAGGCTCATCTCCAGTCACAGCTCCCTTGTGGAAGGCAGAGCGTAAGAACAGTTCAAGGCATACGGTGTACAAAGTTTAAACAAATAGCAAAAAGAGATTGTGGATGAAAGGCATGTAAGAGGAATCATAGTGTATCAGGTGGTACTTTGAAAATCTTGCATTTACAAGGAATGTAACAAGATGGTACATATCTAATATGTATAATGCCACAAGAAGAAAACAGTGCTTCTAGAGGAAGTATTCATGAACAGATACAACAGATGCAGTCATCTCAACAACATTACTGTGGATGATAACAGACAGAATACAAAAACCATAAACACATATATAGAGAGAGAGAGAAAATGTCCTATAGGGCTTCATATGAAATATGCAGTGGTCTTTAACTACAATAGGAAATGCATACTGAAGCAACTGCCAGAAAACAAACACCTTCAAATATATATTTTAAATATGTGTATGAACACTTCCACAGCAAGCAAAAAGGAGTCAAAGAAATAACTTGATTGACTGGCTGACCCAGGAATATGCAGTTCAAAGTCACCTATTCTCATGTGATGTGAATTCTATCCAGGAAACACCTGGTGGCTGTCCTGAGGTCCCTGAGATGATAGTTGAGCAGTCTCAGCTCAGTTCTTAGTAGCTGATTACTGAACAAGAAACATCTCCCCAGATGCACATGTTCTCCCATATCCTCCCACCCCCTCCCCCTTATTCAGCAAAAAGAACAGAATTAGCCTTGGTGGAAAACTTTCCACCTCTTTCAAATCTAGGATAATGTATTGTATTCTATTACCAAGTTCTTAACTACTGGTGAATGAAAGACCACAAATATAGTTGCACAATAAGATAATGTGAATTTATCATTATGTAAATATGGATTCTGACTCCTGCCTAAATTGTTCTGAGTGAAGTTAATTACAGAGATTAAAAAAGAATGATTACTTCATGGTGTTTGTAGCACTTCAGAACTTCCTTCTCTCTTTACAAAAAAAATCTACTTCTGTATCAAAAGCAAAATATTTTTTTCATGAAAGGTAAGAGCAATAGGTCCTTATCACAGTTTGCTACTCAAGTTAGAATGCAGAGATACTGATTCAATTTTCCAGTCTGCCCACACTCATCCCTGTAGCTCAAAAGCACTTGAGTTTTTTTTCTTGTATTTCACATAAATATTTCCACATTCCTCTAACATTTAGGGTACCTCAATCTTTATGCATAACAGGAAAAAAAAAACCACTAAAAATTGATTTATAAATTGATTCTTAGTTTCACTACTATCATTTGTGCAAAGTAATTTTTATTGTCTTCAGGTATACATTTATATCCCAGACATTAGCAAATTCATACAAACAAATGGATAACTTAGCTTATTTAAAGCAATCTAAAGTTGGCATATACAAAGACATGTATGAGATGCTCCAACTGATTTACCTACCTTGTGCACACATTCAAAGTCAAGTGGTTTGTATCGTCTTTATCATCTTTTACATCAACATTCAAGTCAAAGGCTTCTTGGTTTTGGACAGATCTGAGCCTCTGATCGGCGTGCTTTATGTTGTACATAACATTCAGCTGTGGATTGAAAGTACAGACATCAGGTGACACGTACAGCAAGCAGTGTGATTTAAACACCAAGTTGCTAGCACCGTAACACCAGAGCCTTCACATGAGGAAACACACGTTTGCACAGACCTGCTAGCCTATAATTGACTTGCCAACCTATAACTTGGACAAGCCCTGTCATACCTTTAAATCTGGACTGACAATTTTCTATTTGCTACCTGAAACCACCGTAGAAGGACTGTGATTTTCCGGAAGCACTTCTCATTCCATTTTCTTTAGCCAAGCAAAATGCATACTGGGGTCTTGCAAGGGGAGTTATTTTAGCCACTTTCTGCTTATTCTTTCACTAAAAGCAAAGAAGAACCCCCTAACCATGCTATGTGTTTTATCTGGATGACTGAGGGAATCGTCTTTAATTTCTGAATTTTGCTTTTACTGCCATGTCTCTCACTTTTTAATACAAAAATTATGCTCCTTCTTTCAATCTCTACACATAATTCCCATTGTCCTGCCCAACATTCCTGAATTTAGCATGCTGTATGAGTGCAGAGCCAATTCTGTAGAGGCACTCGGGACAGCCATGGTGCAACTGTGAAGATTTATCATGTCGAACTGCTCCACGGGAGAAGGCAGTACCAAGGATGAAACCAATCTAGAAAGCCTGCCAGCTGAAGGCACACAAAAAGCAGTGCCTTAACAACCTGTCACCACAGAAACAAAACTGTTTTAACTTTTGCCAGAAAAAGCTAATGAATGGGAACTTACTGCCAAGGCAGGATGTACTGAAACCACATACTGAACAGGTCAATCAGCTAGTATTTTCATGGAATAAGCTGTTGCTGTTATGGTCTGACTTTCTTTTCCCTATTTCTCATGACAATGAAGGAAAATGTTTTCACAACACAGAGTTTAATTAAAGCCTTCTTCTGTATACACACTCACTTTGGAGACAGAAGACTATTATACAGAAACTCACATTAAATTAACAAAATGAACAACTATATTTCTTAACTTTTAAAAAGCAACTGCCAAAGCTAAAGGCAGAACTGGTCCAGCCTTGTGTATAGTGCACCCATTTCTGGTGAGAGGACCAAGGAGAGAAAACTAAAAGCTAGTTTTCTGCATGAGAGTGATGCTTCAAATAGTATCAACTATCAACTATGACACTATCAACTGCACTATACTTCTAAAAATGTGGCACATTTATAATCCCCTAATCAATGCTTATCTTTGTTCTTAAACTAGCAGCATAAATGAGCTTGACTGAGCATGTGAATTCAATGAAAACATCTCCAATATTTTCTGTCCCTTTTTGAGTACTCAATATCCATTCAAATGGTAATGGAGAAATATGTGTGCATTTCATCATGTACCTGTTTCACTACCATCACACTAAATAGCATTCAGTCTTCTGCCTAAGTCAAATAAAAATACACTGAGTGGAAAAAAAGTCACTGTTTCCAGTAATGAGTAACAGAGAAATCTGAGGGTTTTTCCTCATTCCCTCTCTATACCTCATCAGGAGATTGAGGAGATCTTGTTCACCTATCCACTTTGCCCATACCCACCCTTGTTTGAGCCTGTCCACCCTCCCCTTGTTGCTAGTTCTAGATTTCAGTGGCATTCTCCTTCCTTCCAAGAAGGCATAGGCCATGCCAATTATTTTAGTCATGTGTCAAGTCCAGCTCACAGAAGAAACATGTTTATTTCAAGACTTTCAGCAGGCCTCCTAAGGAAGATTGGTTCTTTGACTCCTTTCCCTAGAGCATCTTTCATAATACCCTAAGCCATCCTCTCTTCCCTCTTGCAGAGCAAGTGTCTTAGGTCATGCATGGGATATACCCACAATGGGATATACCTACATGGAGAGACGAGCTAGAAAACTTTATTGACACCAGGATCAAAAAGCTATAAGTAAATGTCTGCCATTGCAATCATAATATCCAAAATAAATACATTTTATGAGATTCTGAAGGGTCAGGAGTGAATGCACTGCCAACTTGCACACACAGACAGTGATATTTCATCAAAAAAAAATTTCCTAAGAATCCGTTCTGTTGGGAAAGCATGATGTTTCCATTAATGGATTTAATCTTGTATTGTGTGATATTTAAATGAATTACTGTTTTGACATACTACATTTGGTGAGAAAGCCAAATCCCAGAACAGTTATTCTTACCACTGTACTCTGACGGGCCCAAGACAATGAAACCCAGCTGAAGAAATGTGATTGCAATGTCATATGCTATCTGATTTATTAAATCTGATCCAGACCTAGCCTATGTCTGGGAAAAAGAAAAATCTCATTCAATGTCCTCAGTGCTCTTTCTTTTAGGATATCAGACCTGCCAAAGGAAGCAGAAGGAAGGAACTGATCTCTGCAAAGATAAGGTTTTGGAGGAAGTACTCCAGGGTGTTAAGTGTAATATTCTGAATCAAGTCACAGCATCTCTGACTCAAAGCTTCAGGAAAAGAGGCAACAGCACAGTGACTTAAATTAACAAGATAATCTAGCCTTGGTTCCTGAACAGCAGTTCTTCGTGAGCACATTTCCACGTTCATGCAACACAACAGAAACTTATAACTGGTGTATAACTGGTGTTATACACCCCCAGGGAATGCTCCCAAAAGCCAACTGGCTATTCTTGGTGAAAGACTTCTGCCCAGTCTTCACCAAACATGCTAGTTTGAATGTGAAATTTTCCTGCTGAAAATAATGTAATTGGAACTAATGTGTTTTCACAAAAGGTATTAATTTTAACAAATCAGTGTTTTCCAGCAGGAAACAATTTGCTGAAAAGTTTTTCATCAGCTCGCCTGACAAATTAACTGACTTAATATCAGGGAGTATTTCTCAACAATGATTAGGGTTAAGTAGTCTTAACTGTTCTGGAGCCCCACTTTGTTACATTCCACACAATCACACACACAGGCACACTGAAACCACAGATGTGTGAAAGCAGTCCTGCTGAGACGTTCATTCCTATCTTGGCCTGCAAGTCTGAATCTAAATTATCCTCTGAAACTTTTGAACTTTGCTGCAACTTCATTTGTACTTCTGGGAATTAATAAACATGGGTTGTGATTTATGGCACTGTGGGTTTTGCAGACTGGTGGTGAATGAATGAGGTGTATCTCCAGCTGCTGTCCACTGCTGATAGGCAGCTGTGAAGACTTCTTTGAAAAGGCATTTTATCCCAAAACACATATACCAACCATCACCAGGCTTTTTTTGCTTCCCAAATGCATAAGAACGCTAAAGTCAAGGACAGATTGGATGGAACTTGAGATAGAATCTGACCTGGCATAAAACTTGAAGACACATAAAGGTGACTTCGGATCAGTTTTCTCAGTTTTCCACTATGACTAGTAGTCCAGTAGGAACACTTGTTTTGTGACACAGTCATCAAGTATAAGTTTATGCTTTCAATAAAATGAGTCTCTCATGCTCAGAGACTAGTATTTCTGCTCACTTTTCCAAGGTCTGCTCTTTCATCTGTGCGGTCACAACCAATTGCCATGGAGAGGGCACCAGGGAAGTGAGATCCACTGCTGGCTGTATCAAGTTAGATCCAACACTGTTTTCTGATATGGTATTTCTCCTTCCACTTTCTGCCATGCCCACACTTCTGGTTGATGCTAAGTGTCTATTACTGTTTGTAGTCTGCAGGATCCTTTGACTCTGTTTCTCATGCTATTGCAGAACACTGTAAAAATTGCTGGAGAACCCAGCTGTAATAACCTCTTATTTTTAGTTTTTGTCGCTTTCTACTTCAATGAAAGGAAAATAATTCTTATAACTAGCAATGATTTTCCACTATGACTAGTAGGAACACTTGTTTTGTGACACAGTCATCAAGTATAAGTTTATGCTTTCAATAAAATGAGTCTCTCATGCTCAGAGACTAGTATTTCTGCTCACTTTTCCAAGGTCTGCTCTTTCATCTGTGCGGTCACAACCAATTGCCATGGAGAGGGCACCAGGGAAGTGAGATCCACTGCTGGCTGTATCAAGTTAGATCCAACACTGTTTTCTGATATGGTATTTCTCCTTCCACTTTCTGCCATGCCCACACTTCTGGTTGATGCTAAGTGTCTATTACTGTTTGTAGTCTGCAGGATCCTTTGACTCTGTTTCTCATGATATTGCAGAACACTGTAAAAATTGCTGGAGAACCCAGCTGTAATAACCTCTTATTTTTAGTTTTTGTCACTTTCTACTTCAATGAAAGGAAAATAATTCTTATAACTAGCAATGAAGTCTTACTCTGTATTGATCTGGGCCTTATTATGGTTTACCACAAGTTCTCAATGAGGCATTTCTGCCTAGTCCACATACCTGTTTTACTCTGAATTCTGTCTGCCAGTGTACCACTGCAGTTCTTTGTCTTGCAAATGGACATGGCATTTCTGCAGGAGGACAGGGCTGCTTAGATACAGTTCTGGCTCATGGAAGTGCCCCAAAACTGTCAGTCTTAAAAGGCCACACCATTGGTCAGAAACTACAGGAATACATCCATATTTTATTCACAGCATCCTCAGTTAGTGAACTGCTTTGCTACTGATTTAAGACATTTTGGAAGACTGTTCCTATTAACATGTTTTATAAAACTTCCAAAACACACCTTTCTTACAGAAAGGGTATCTTCAGCAAGAATACCTACCTGATTGCCTGCATTGCCTACCTGAAAGACAGCAAATCCCATTCCCTCCGCTGACACTGTAATTGTCATTTGTTGTGCAGGGGGAATCTGAAAGAAAGATGACCAAACCAGTATTTTCAAAGTACTTTCAATCAGCAGACTTTACAAAAGTATTCCTCACTTTTTACAGTACCTCCTTAGCCTGAAGCAGGAAACGGTTTCGAGTATTAATTAAGAATGTTTCTGGCATTTCCAAAGAAGGGGCCGTGACTGTTATATCCATTTCTGTTTTGCTTGCTGCAGTGAGAGCTGCAAACAGACTCAAGGCTTGTAGAGCCACCACTGTGTCCTGTTGAAAGAAACAAACCCTTCTGTATTGTAAAGAAGCAGCCAGCACAGCACACAGACCATGCCTTGGGGAGCTCGTAGTCCCTGCATTCACCCATTTCTTGATTATGCTGGAATCTTCCTGCAGCCACCTCCAAATCTCTGGATTCCCCTGGCATGAAGATTCCAGCCCAGAAGAGAGAGCAACACAAGACAAGAAGTTAGCTGCTGTGGGAACAGAAAATAAGGTGGGAGCCAGCCAAGGAAGTTTTCCTCTTGTGCAAGGTGCGTGCAACACCTGACAAGCTGAAAGACACAACAGTCAGAATTACACACCAGCCACGGAGAAAGACACAGAGGGAAGTGACAACATTGCTACTTTCTAGATTTATTTAGTGACTGTGCATTAAGTATTCAGTACTGCACAGGAGTTTTTCAGGGTGCCTTGATCGTTGATGCAAAAGCTACAGGTCTGAAAAATCATTAACACTAATTGTAACAAAAGGTTGAAATTAATTTTTATCAGACACTCAGCAACAATTTCAAAGGGTTTCCCTCTGTATTTGATCCAAAGTTTTTGTGCAATTGTTTAACCACTGCAGAATATACTTACAAACACCCATATTTTCATATGTTTTCATATATTTTCACATATTTTTCCATCTTTATGTATGATTGTAGGCTTAGCTCTCCAGGTTTTGAACACAAGAGGCAGTGTGTGAACGTTTGGTTCAGCCCAGTTTAGCGAATGAGAATTTTAACATCCACTATTTTCTGGGAAGAAATACAGTAATATGTCTCTAATCTCAGGGACTTTTACTGTTCATGCAGTTCATTTTGCACCTGTTGTTAACCAGTCAGAGTGAAGAAATTGGCCTTTCAGCCTTGGCATACAGATACTATATCTATAATTAGGCTGCTTCGAGTAACAAAATTCCAACATAACAGGAATTCATTCACTACAACATGGTGACCATGGTGACTGTGCCACACCTTAAGGGGCTAGGATGGGCTTTCTATTCACTCTAACTGATAAATAATCCACTCTCCTTCCCATGCCACATCCTTGTCTGAGATGACCTGCTTCACTGATTTCTTAAAATGCAGAAAGATCAGCTCATTAGCAACTGCAAATTCACAGTAAACTGTATCATGTATACAGATTATGGTGAATTACTACACCCAACTTATAAAGCATCACACATGCAACTTAATGCTTTCCTCCTTATCGTTCAACAATATATTAAGTTTCTTATGTAACTCATGGAAGGAAACACTCCAAACATTATTTTTTAAAGCAAACTTAAAAGTTAAGTAAAAAACTATGGAGTAATTTCTACAAATTAAAAAAGGCACCTAGCAAGACATTGGAGAAATTTTCAAATCTAAACAGTTTAGACTATGGAAGAACAAAATGGTTAAATTAATTTCTTAATTTTACCCTCAAGGGTAAATGATAGATTTTCAAACTTCCAAGTAAGATCGGTTTCTGGAGAATAGAGAAAAGCTTTTTAAACTCACTTAATGTTTCAATTAACCTCTTCAAATAATAAGCAAGAATTAACACATTAGGAAAGCACTAATACCTCAGGGGAACCTGGCCGGTTCTTAAATTGCATTTTACTCAGAACACATTTCTCTCAGATTAATACCAACCAACATCTGAAAATAATGAAGAAGAGGCTATACACCTTGGTACCAAGCAGCATGATGAAATGTGACATTTTACTGTGACCAGCATTTGTAGTTAATCTAAAAACTAGTTTAAACCAATGTAATCCAAAGTACTATCTAATTTTTTGGTTGCCAGCACAGCTTACAAGACATGGCTTCAATAACATGGAAACCTCCTGGAGATAGTAAAGATATTCCAAATTTCATGGCCCATCAAAAATCTATGCAATAGTAAGGACATTAGTAAGTTAAGACCAACTGCCAAAAGAGGGATTAGGTTAGGCTGTTTTTCTAAAACCTACTCCCTTCAGTTAATTGCTAAGTTAATAGCTTTTCAGGAGTTTGAGGACCCACACATGGCAAGAATAAAAAGAGGTTTCTCTTCTTGGAAAGGAAGTAAGCATATATATTCATCATACTTATTTTGAAAATATGTTTAATTACTTTTCCACAGGCTCTACTATTTCCTCTTAATTTGTTATTAGTATAGTATATAAAGAAGGTCTCCCTCTAATTCCCTTTTTTATTAGACTTGCCAAAAATACGAAAACTGGCAGTTCAGGAGTAAGATGCCAATAATGTACATAACCAGGGCTGCTACAGCAAAACAAAACTCAGTAATTATTATGTAAGAATGGTCCTTTTAAATTTTGAAATATACACTGCTTGTTTAGAAAGTATAGCAAAACCCCTTAAGACAAGATATTACCTGAGTAGATGAAAATCCCCCAAGGTGATTTCTTTGATGACTTAACCATTTCATAACAGGAATCCCTTCAGCTAATCTGTCTTGATGAAAGTGAGAGAGCAGAGCATATGCTGCAAGTTCAATATCAATGGACCGTGGCTGCCATGAGTCAGAAATTTCAGAAGCAGGTGTTACCCAAAAACGAAATTCTCCTGTAAAAGGAACAAACAATAACCTGATCCACAGACTGAAGTCTTTGGATTTTTGGGAAAGTCTTAGGGGAAACCTCTTCATTAATCCTTACACATGGGCTCTAGCAAGGATCTATGACATTGTGTTAATGTTTAGGTGTGTGTTCCATAAGGTACTTCCTCAGCAATGTTTGAATCTAGACACAAAAAAGCTGGAGTCTAAACAGTCACTCAACTGATTTCAGTGAACTTTACACTGATCCTTTCCTTGTCAGCCAGAAGTGCTCCATAAAGAATCCCTTCTGAAAAGGCCACCGTGTTGTTCTAGTGCTCCTTTCTCTCAGGACCAGAGAAGGCACCTCAGGCAGCACAGCTGCTGAATAGACTCATTCTTGAGTAAAGCCTTCCCAAAAAAATGACTTCTTCTCTTCCAAGAAGTGACTGTCCAAAAGGCCTAACTCAGTAAACATAGACAGATACTCAAAAGGCTCCGTTGCTAGGCTACAACACAAATCCAAATTTGGATTCTTCAAGACGACAATTACTATTTTGAGCCAAAAACTTCCATTTCTTCTACTCCATATGGTATGTTCTTCCCCCAAATTAGGAAAAATAATTCAGCTGAACTTGAAAGAGTTTAAATATACTGAGATGATAGGTCCCTAGAGAAAGTGCAACAGACCTCTGCATTGCCTTACAGAAAGTCCAATACTTCACCTCTTCTTTCTAATACTCATTGCTCCCCAATACCCTCCTGATCTCTCCAAACTACATTGGAATAGTGAACTTCATCCATCTCTCTCTCTTTAACCAGGCTGATCATACGAGGTGCATAGTAAAACAGGAAAATTGACAAGTCATGTCCTCCAACAGCATCACAGTACTCCTATCAGGAACACAGTAACTGAGACGGAAGGCCCAAGCCTTGTTGTGAATTGCCACTCATTTATGAATACTTCTTATGTCTTGGGACTTCTTAGCTAATTCTCTATATCATACTCTGAACAGACTTGAATTCTGAACACAGAGTTGCAGATATTATATGATAAACATTTTTAAATTTGACAAAAATCTATCTGTACAACTGTGTAAGATATTTGTGCAGTACCTTGGCGTTCTGCCCTCTGGTTCAGCATATTCAGTGCTTCCTTTGCTCTTGGACTTTTTGCCCAGGACAATGCATAGGTCACAAGTGCCAATGTGTAATTATCTGAAATGCCTTCTTCTAATTTATCTTCTAGAAAGTTTGTAGCAGTCTTGATGGCGTAAGCATGCTGGAAATTAAGATAATATTGAAGAATGTACAGTGAATGACATATATCTTGGAATAGAAAAATGTAAAAGAAAAATTTTCATTGAACCACAAAAATTGCTAGCCCAAAACCACAGCCAAGAAACAATGAAAATCTCTTTCAGAGTCACACATGAATCACAAAGGCAAGCCTTTTGATCTGGCACTGTCTTTATGAAACTGAGTAATTTCAATTAAATCAATTGGAATGGCTTAATATCTTTGAGACTAGTTCCCCCCAAGAAATTTCTTTCCAAGTTCTTGGACTCAAGTCATGACAGTATTCTCTTGCTAACAGAAACTGCCTTTAGATTTTGCAAATATAAAACTGAAGAGCTTAACACAACTTTGCATTGCTTTGAATAGGTAAGGGATATTTAACAAAATGAGGTTAGAGTTTGTCTGTGTTCAAATATTCCTCTATTTCTATTAACTACCAAGTGTTTCCCAGGTACTATGAAAATTTATGAAGCATTCTCCTAACCATGAATCATATTTATGAATTCCAATACCTGTTTATCTGGGAACCCTAGGAGGGATGACATGATGTAAGCTGTGAGAGTAATTGGATTGTTGGTGCCTCCTTGAAGATCACTGTGTAACACTTTCCCAGGCTCCTGGAACTCTCCATTCAGTTTCTGGTGACGGACAATCCATTTAGCTGTATCCATGAGTACATCTTCGTCAATATCTATGAACGGACGAGCTTGAAGGAAACATCTCAATACAAAAGCTGATAACCTTGGGGGAAAGGTTCATCAAGTAAATCAAAATTAGCCATGCATTACAGCTTTCTCTGTTTCAGATTATATAAGAATATTATAAAGTATAAAGTGCTCTACACACCCCTACCAAGCAGAGCAAAATGCATGCCTCACCCAGATAAGCAAGTAGACTAAACTTAATCCGCCACAAAATATGTCCTTTTTCCTGAAGATCACCCCTTCTGCAGCTATGTTTTAAAAATAAATACAGAGTATAGACTCTGAGTCTGCCAGCACAAGCGTATCTTTATTCAAACATTGCTCTCCTGCCTTCTGTTGCTAGACAGAAGTTATAATTTACAAAGTAATGCAGTAACGGGTTTGATGTTAACTACCAGCACTATCCCTGTAATGATACCCTTGAAAGAATCTTGGTTGTTTTATTATTAATCCCACATTATCCCTCGACTCCCTTCTTTCCAAATGTGCATTCATGTAACTTGTCACTGCACTATTTAAGTACTAGAGTTGCCAGTACAGGTAAACTGCCACAAAATAAGATATGTCCTTTTTCCTGAAGATCACCCCTTCTGCAGCTATGTTTTAAAAATAAATACAGAGTATAGACTCTGAGTCTGCCAGCACAAGCGTATCTTTATTCAAACATTGCTCTCCTGCCTTCTGTTGCTAGACAGAAGTTATAATTTACAAAGTAATGCAGTAACGGGTTTGATGTTAACTACCAGCACTATCCCTGTAATGATACCCTTGAAAGAATCTTGGTTGTTTTATTATTAATCCCACATTATCCCTCGACTCCCTTCTTTCCAAATGTGCATTCATGTAACTTGTCACTGCACTATTTAAGTACTAGAGTTGCCAGTACAGGTAAACAATTTTCATCTTCCAATCCATCAATATTGAGTCAAAGGCAAATCCTGCTGATGTCAATGAAAGATGCCCACTGAGTCCAGAAGTAAGTCTCATTCAGTGGCACAGTAATAGGGACAGAAGCATGTGCTGAAATATCTCAGTACATCTAAACTGAGCAAGGGTTAGCAGAACAAAGCACTGGAACCCCCCTCCGTTATCTATCTGGCTTCCATAACTACACTCTGGAGTATGCATCCTGGACTGAAACTCAGCACTGAAAAGACTTTTTCAGCTGTGTTTACAATCTCAATAAAAGGAATTGTGACAGATGCAAGTAGAACAAATTTTTACCACCAATAACTCTGTTGACCCCTACAAAATGTCTCAGTCAGTCTTCAGCTTCCAGTATGGAAATAAGTGATAATCTGATTGAAGCAGTGATGATCACACAGCCCTAAATGGTTTCAGTCAAGTGCAAGAATTACTAATTTAATTGTAATTCTTCATTCCTTTGAGGAAAGCAACAGAAAAAAAAAAAACCTTCAGACTAAACTATTTATCTGATTAAAATAATTCATTATTCCTTTTTTTTTCCCAAAATTAAAAAGCCTTGCCCTAATAATGCCTTTGACAATATGTTATCCAGCAAGAAAGACTTAGAGTTGGCCTAAACACCTAATGAAAACCAGGCAGAAGTCTAATACAGCTGGAAACTTTTACCAGCTTCACAAAAACTTTTCAGATGCAGGGACAATATCTAAAAAACTAAAATTCCACAATGATTTCTGGCAGAACTACTCACCATGTGCTCCCAGAAGGATCTTCATTTCCAAAGGCACTAAAAGAGCCATCATCCCTCTGGAAAAGCAGCTCTCTTTGGTAGCCTGAAGTGGAAAAGTAGAGACAGGTATTGAACACTTTCCTCTTATGTGGGTTTCTGCACAAACTGGACCTGAAACTGCTGATATGAACCAAGGCATTTTCTAAGGTTGAGAAGGGCACTACTTAAGCTTGTATTTCATAAAAAAACTCCCAAATATGCAGGGACACACAAAACCATGTAAAAAATGGTGAGGAAGTGGGCAGCAATAGGAAGGACCCATCTACAAAAGGAGAATCAGAAATTCCTGTGGCTGCTCATCAGCTACCCAACCAGTGCAGAGATGTGCTCCCACACCCGGCGATTCCAGGAGCACAGCAGTGAGAGCAGAGCAGAGATGCAGCTATAGTTCCTTGCTTCATCATTTTGGGGATCTTGTGTACCTGCAGAAGTGCCCCATCTTTACAGCACAAGCAAAAATTGAGTGTTATCTAACTGGAAGGACAAGGCAACAAATGCTGCTGGAAAACCAGGCCTCCTCTTCAGGTGTTTTTTGACAAATCAATAGGCTTGCCATCAGAAAAAGCAAGTTGAAAATTGGTTGTTCTGAAATTAGTGAAAAATTTCAAAAGACCTGAAGATCCTGAAATCCTAAGAAGAACCATTTAAAATGTTACGCTAAGATTTTTTTCAATATCCTGAACAAGTGCAGCTATCTCCTGACTGCAGGACACCCATAATAAAAGGCCTCAATGGCTGCTCACAACCACCAGCAGCATTCTCACTCATACATGACCTCTGTACAGAACCAGTGTTCATTCATGTTAGAAATTAAGAGCTTCCTATGATATGCTACTCACTGTAGCTTCTGGTATCTAAAGCCTTTCTTCCCTTGCATTTTGCCTGCCATTTGTGAATCCAGAATAGTAACAGCATCTATTTACAGCATTTCATAACACATTATTTCTGTCCCTCCACTTTGCCTTTTCCCTTGGTTTGACTATTTTAGCTATTATAATTAAGAAAATATACTCATTAATTGAAGACCTCATAGATACAGACACAATACAGAATCAGACAGGCAGAAAGAAAACTCTCAGGCAACCATCAGTAAGTCCTACACAAATGAATGAATGTACGCAAATATGTCCCGTGAGGTCTATCCAGCTACAACATCCCAGAAAAATGTTCCTTGCTTTCACTAATAAAGAATTAATCACCTACTTCCATACCATCCTGACTGCAGATGCACAGAGAGTGAACCATACCCCTAATCACTGAGGAACAAATGGCCTGGTCCCTCAATCTAAGTGCCAGTATAAAATGAATTCCTAGTCATGGTCTGTCTGCAATAGAAGAGAATGAGAAATACAGCTATGAATCTGGGTACCTTCCCATGTAACCCCTGTAGCAAGAAATCTAGCTTTTGGGTCTTCTTTAGAAGAATTTGCAATCGAAATTTTTGCTTTAATATAGGGGGTTTATTATGTATTTAGCATGACAGTGGCTAATTACGTCACTAAAACTGGTGAATCTTTCAGATACAGACACACCTGTCAGCTCAGTTAATGATACTAAGTGGAAGGAAAAAGAAGAAGGAATGAGTGGCATTTCTCCCCAGGAAAAGCAAATTCACTGTCAAAGTTTAAGCCTCCAAATAATGTTCTGTGAGGAGCACAAATACATGTATATATACAGACTGCTTCCTCTTCAAAAGTATCTGACTGCAAGGCCTGAAAATAAGGTCTTCTGCCTCTTTGCAGAACTGGCAACACACAACAATAAGTATTATAATCACCATCCTGCTGGTAGTGTAAAAGCACTAGACTACAGCTTTCAGCCTGCTTAACAAAGACTGCCGGGCAGCCCTTACAGAGGCACAAATTCATCTCAGAACGTAGGCTGGGCAAGGATCAGAAAGATGAGCAGAACCAGAGGGGGAGAGATCACTCAGCTATTTCCTACATTCTGTTTGCTTTAGTCTCAGTGCCAGCCCTGCTGCAGTCACGCAAGTCTCCCAGCACGAGCGTATCTAACACGGGAACGCCCGCAGGAACGCTGGAACAGGAGAGCTGGAGGCTCCCGCGAACCGCCACGCTCGGTCCAGCGGGCACTCAGTCACACGTGAAAAACGTCAACGCACGGAAGGAAAAGAAGGATCCTATTTATGAAGATGTCCACTGATATTCTCAGAGGGCTGGCTGGAACCCAAGAGATGTAGAAGGCTCGCTGAAAAGAGCTCACAAGGCTGAAAGAGGAATGTATCAGGATGGAAAGGACTTCAGAAAGATGTGGAAGACTAAAGGATCTCACCTTTCACACAGCTTGGAAATTCTGCTCAAAATCTTTACCTCTTTGGGTCTAACAAAAAAGCTTTTAGACCAACCAGGTTTTTTTTTTTCATTTCAGAAAAAGTGATTTAAAGATGGGATTTGTCATTACCACAATTAAGAAATGTGCTTAAAAGGCAACTTTTCTTTGGCTTTGCCTTTGTTCTAAGTAAACAAAACTGCTAAAAGAAAGAGCATATAGCAGTTTCTGCTAGCTATATGATCCCTTCTTCTCACAAGTATTTAGCCATAAATTAATTATATTTACTTCAGATTCTGAGGTTACTTTTTTAAATACTTGGTGAATTATGACATGCTAAATAGTCCATTTTCAATTAAACTTCATAACATCCTTTCAAAAACTGAGTCTATAAAAATTACATCTTAAGCTAAAGTTAATTTCAACTTGAAGATTACACTTGAAAAAATAATCAGTGCAACAACAGAAAACAATTATTAAAATAAAGCAAAAAAAGCCAGAATATTTTTAGATTGTGGTTCTTTTCTATGTTAAGGTTACATATATTTCAGCATACTTAATGTTTTGGCACCTACAGTGTTAAAAACACGTACCTCATTTCAGAGCCTTAGAACAAAGTTAAGAACACAATACAATCTGCATGTAAGTGACATTTAAGCCTCTAATTTTCATTTGCTTTGAAATAACTTAAATAAATCCACTATTGGAAAACTTCAGAAAACTATGGTACCAAAGCTCAGTCTTAAAAGAGTGACAGATTGCTTACAAACTTCAGAGTAGCTGTTTACATAACACATCTCTTCCTCCCCACTGTACTTTTCAACTAAACTATGTAGTAGGAAGGGTTTAAAAAAAAAATTCATTTAACTGCTTTGACAGAAAATTGGAATCCTGATGAAAGGCAAATTTATTTTGAGTTGTGCCTTTTCCAGGGGAAATGTCAACAACTTTAAAAAAATCAAACAAAAAAGACTTAGAGAGAGTAAACAAGAATTGAAAATGTCATCACGATGCCTTAGTAGGGGTGTAGCTCACATGGGGCTGGTGTCACTGCTCTCTGAGAAGCAGGCTCAGCATGGAGACTGACTCATGGTGAGTGTGGGACACCACAGTCAGACACTGTCAGATCCAAAAGTCAGAGTGCAACTGTGGTCTCCAAAGTTTGTGATGCTCTGGAGTATCTCCTGATTCAAATATGTAACAGTTTCCAACTAAAATTTTCCAGCTTTTGATTTCTGGCACAGAGTTCACTTCTGACCAAGCCTAAAGTTTGTGTGGGCAAAAAAGCCAGCTATGAGATCAAATGCCACTCCTTGAGCTCTACAAGGACATGTCAGGTCAGGATGTGTCACTGAAGACGTGGGATGAACATGGTTCACTCTGCTCACTGACTCATTTTGAACTGCTGTGCTTCAGGCAGAGATCAGAAATGGTTGTTCACATGTGGTTTTATCAGATGAGAAGTAATAACCATCTAAGAAATCCATGTGAATTACCTTCTAAAACGCATTTCACAGATGAAAAAAAGCATTTATACAAAACCAACAACTTTTTTCTGAGAAAACTTGCCCTTGTAAACAAAATAATTTGCTCTCTAATTATATCAACTCAGAATAAAGTGGAAGAAAAAGAAAAAAGTGAGTTCTCTTCCAGTTCTCATGACACAAACTGAGCAATATTACTAACACCAGATGCAGAGTCACAGAGATTTTTTTTTACTAGGAAAAGCTCTTAAAAATCTAACATCCTTATTTTATGCATACAGACCTTTTCTCATAAACGATACTGCTTTTGATCTAATATCCTCTCTCAGCTGCCTGGTTTTAGTCAAATATTGCAAAATATAAACATTCGGAGCAAAATTGATCATATTCTGTTCACCACAGCCATAAGGCATCTTAATCAATGATGACAAACCGTTGATAGAAGGCCCCAGTAAATCACCTGAAAGATAAAATTCAACCAAAATAAACTAAAGCTTACTACAAATAAATGCACACTTCATATATAATGGGTGTTATAATCTAAATTGGGAGAAAATATGATATATTAGGAATGTTTCTACTAAACACCTCTAAGCAGGCAGAAAAGATACTTCATACTTCATCTCCTTCAGCACTTTATGCCCACTGATGCAGCTCCCTACAGACCCTTCCAACTACAGAGTAATTTCAAAGAGTTCAAAGAGTTGCCATTTAAAAAAAAAACAAAAACAAAACCAAAAAATCCCTAACCAAACAAACAAAACCCCACAAAACCAACATCTATTTAATCCAGGAAAATGTTTCAATAGTGGTATGTATTTGAAACCTCATTTATTTCTTCTCTCACCTACAGTTATCAAAGCCTAGGTGTCACAGTAAACAACAGTTAGTCAGGTTACAGGTATCATTCTGCAGACAGAATAATTAGAACGGGATACTAGAAAACTTTGCAGGACCTTCCTGACCAAAATCTAACCTGTAACTCTGAAAATACCTTACAAACACCATATTGTCATAAATTAAACAAATTAAAGGAATAGAACACTCCATCCATAAGGTCTCCCTACGTTTAGCATAATGCATGATGGTAAATTACTGTGACTTAATGATTCAACCTATTTACATTGCAGACAAATAAAAATTAATGCCTTAATTCATTCCCTAATGATAGAAACAGTGTAAGTTAATTCTTACCAACAGCAGTGACCTGCACTCTCCCACTGTCACTTACAACATCAGAAGGAAAAGTGAATTCCAAAGTTTTTGACACTGTTTGTCGTTTATTCCCAGTCAAATCCAAAAGGACTGTCTGAGAATATGTCTGTTCCAGTCCTTCAGCCTATAAAAATAAAGACAGGGATTCTGAGTATCCTTCTGTAGTTGATCCTGCCCTGAGCAGGAAGGTCATTCTACTCCCTTCCAACCTCACCCATTGTTTGGTCCTATAATCTTAAGCTTTTACTGCAGGATGAGATACACAAATATCTACCACCTTCCAATGAAATAGATCCTAACCTGAATCAGACTTAGACATCCAAATCTAGGCAAGTCTTATCAGTGTCTGGTTTACCAGAAAATCTGGAAGCTAAAATTCTACCTGTACCAAAATACAGAAATATTAATCAAAAATAGGCCCAAATGAAAGGCAGATGTACGGCAAAATCAATTGCACTCATCTAAAACAGTCACCAGGTCCACTCTGCACAGGGTGTTAAATGAGCTGCAGCACCAGGGGTTCAGTGATACAAAAACAGCTTTCAAGAAGCGTTGGACAAACTATCTGTAATAGAACAGATCTATGAGTTCATTCCTGGAAGGGGATCTAAAGAATTTTAAAGGACTTTTAAAAATTTGTTTTATGAGAAGTATTTTCTACTTAATGTCACCTGACTCCAAACCAATCAAGCAGAGAAAGAGGCGACAAGTACACTGGTTTGCCTTTTTGCTGCCCAAGGTAGTCTGGTTTTGGGAACAATTTACTTCAGGAATAAGGCAAGCTGCAGACTGTTTACCTTGACTATAATTTTCTGGATAACAGCATCAGAAGCAGCAGACGATATTGCTGTCACTTTGATGGGAATCTCTCCCAGCTGTTTTGGCTTGATTGGGAATTGAACAGTTTTCCCATCTTCACTTGGTACAGATATAGATTGTTGATTTGCTGTAGCATTTATTTCATTGGATGTTAGAATAATTTCAAAAGCATCATTGATATCCAGGATCACAGTAACCTGTAAATACAGTAACATTTGCAATAAAAAGTGGTAATTTTGAAAAGGTGCTTTCATAAGCTGCCACCTGTTTTGTGTATAGAGAAATAGGTCTGCCCTCTGAAGAAAATACACCAGTTCTCACAAAGAAAGACATGGTCTCCACCAGTGATGAAAACCCAGCAATATCTAGTAACATTGAAATATAAAGAAATTGTTATGTTACCTCAGCTTCTTCTTTCAAATAATTAAAGATGTTCACTTCCAAAATGAACTGCTCTCCTCTTATGACAGAGTATGGAAGGTTCAGGAAAATGAAAAAAGGCTGAAAAACTTCTAGCTGCAAAACAAAATCAGTCATGAACCCTTAAAACCAGAGACTAGAAAGAAAATTACTATACAACATGTCTTCCAATCACTTTTAAATTCAATGACAGAGTAATGTTTAGCTGTACTCTACAGCTGACAAAACATGTTACTGCAGAGCTGAAACAGGAGGAGAAGGTACTTCTGGTCATTAGCACCTTTAGAGACACCATTCAGATGAGAGATGCCAACAGCTTTGACAGGGCAGTCCCAACAGAGGCAACTGAATTTGGACTATGAGTCTATCATCCAACAAGTTTGGAAGCTGTGCTCTGTCCTGAGCTCTCATTAAGGTAACTGAATTGCTTTGAGTACACAAGTGATGGATCAATGTCAGTTGACCTATCTTCATGTCAACACACCAGTAACTAAATAACTGCCTCACCCAAATTTTGCAACTAAACAATACCTTACAATGTTGTTGGTTTTTTTTATTTAGTAAGATTAATCTTAGCATAAGTTCTTTAGCTATACTTCTAAAAATACATACTATATTAATTAAAATATAAACTGCAGAAGTATACCAGCAAGCAGTTTCTTTTATCTGTGAACAGAGGGTTTTGGAAGAAATCTTGCCTCTAAGAAGTCAATGGTAAGGTCTTATCAAGCTGAATTTGATCAAATTTTCACTGTTTATGAACATCTGTACAATAAGAATGGCTGAAACATGCTATCCTTTATTATCAAAATGTCAACTAAAAAGTATTTTAATTCAGTTTGCATTTAAAAACATCTTCCAAGCATACAGAGTTTCAGAAACAAAAATCCCTCAGCCTTTTTTTTCTAGCTAGCAAATATTCCAATACTTTCCCTAAAAAAAAAAAAAGTTGTGAAGCTCTCAGAGTCATAAACTTCTTTAGATATTAAACATTAGAGAGGTTCTGATGGAGAATTTTTTAGGTTTGTTCATAGTAAAGATTTTCCCTATGCTCCTATTTTCTTTGTTGTTTTTGTTTTACTCTTCTTTAAAACTGAAGTTTTACACTCAGTAATATGCCAGTATATTACAAAAATACAACTGAGTAAAATTACTGACACTCTGTGTAGGAGAAGTCAAAATAAAACCATGATGCAAAGCAGTACATGACATAAAGCACGCAGATGTCATTTATTTCCCCCATTACATTTCTCACGTCTTGCTTGCCTCTCTGTATGGTACTGATTAACATGTTTCAGCCATATGGAACTCTAAGTACAACCTAAATGTCCTAACAACAGAGAATACTGAACAGTGCATGGGGGTGATTATAGCTACACTATTATCTCAACATCTGTTCTACTTGGAGCCTTCTCACATTTGAGGATGAGAGGCCAAGTGTGTATTTCCTTACAGTTTTAATCAGAAAACTATTCCTCTTTCTGTCCCATCTCTGCCAAGCCAAGTGAAAGAAACAAGAATCAAGATTCCAGTCTCAAAGGAGCCTTAGCCACAAAATCCAGATTGGGCTCCAAATTCTGTAGTGGAGTTTAGGTCAGGATGTTCAAAGCACAAGCTCTGTGTCTGGTTTAGCAGCCAACTGTGAAATCTGGACCTAGATCTCAGCTTGGATCTCAAAAATTGCCCCTCCCCAAGAATTTGAGGGCATGAGAACTTAAATGGGTAAGTTGGCTGTCTTCAGGCTATGCTGACACTAGTCCAGGAACCAAGATGGAAATCTACAGCTCACTACCACAGACTCAACTTTTCTAAACTCAGGTATGGAAGTGAAATTGTCTTTGATAGGAACACAGTTTCTCTAGGAACCTCACATAATGAATGGACAGATTCTTCTGTGTATGTAAAATACTAACTAAATGAGACTTCAAGAATTAATTCATATTTTAAACAGGCTAAACACTTCTCTAAGTAGTGGTTTCATTGAATACAGTGTGATCCTAGGACAACTGCACTTGTACACTGGGAATCTCAGGTTAGAGATCTAACCTGAGGGCTGCTAAATTTAGCTTAAATTTCTGAACTCCTCAAACACTTGGAAGCAAGAAAAGAGCCTCAGGACACAGGAATTTGGGAGCAACGGGACTCTCATCCCATGCCAGCTCTCAGTGTCCACTCTGCTCCTCAAGCTAAGTCATCCAAAACTCAGCACCTATTACAGATCACAGAATGTGCTGGGAGGGACCTCTGGATGACATTTAGTCCAAGCCCCCTGCAAGTTTACCTACAGCAGGTTGTACCTGTTTTTACTCTAGGACTGCTTTTGACAGATCAATTTAGCCTTAAATCAACTGTTCTCCCTCATGGGGTAAGCATTAGGCATAAGTGTTAGCAGAACAGCAGGCAAATTCCTCTCACATCCCAGCCACCTCTCCCCTGCCAGTCTGTGCAAACCTCACTGCATGAATTACCAACTCATGGACTGCTCTCTGGGCAGAGCCAAGAAAACATGGAACACTGTTCCCAAAGAGTCACTCTGCCTTCCAACATACAAAGATTCTGAAATGGGCACATCCTGGAAGTAATTTAACAAAAAAACCCTCTCCAACAGAAACAGGCATCCAAATATCTGTGTGCAGTCTTAGATATTCATATGAGCAGGAAGGGAAGGTAGATACAGTATCATGTATGTTTTCAGTGATGTTTTCTCTACAGCTTGAACACACGTGAACTCTCAATCTCTTCATTAGTACAAGAAGATGCTACTGTTAGAACTAAATTGGAGTCTAGCAAGAACCTGCAGTGTAACCAGCCCTACAGGAGAACTCTCTAGTGAGATGGTACCTCCACCGGAGCAGTCGTCACTCCGAGCCCGCCGCTTTCAGAGACCACAAAAGCACTGGCTACCCAGGATGTGATGGTGTCAGGAACAATGGCATCCACTGTGGTTTCTGTGTCAGATCTGATGGCAGAAGGGGAGAGCAGACTTTCAGAACCATCCATTTACAGACATCATTAAGTGGACACATATGTTTAAAATGCTGGAAAAATTAAGTCCAAATTCCTGGAAAGAAAAGTTGCTCATTATCCATTTTCCTTTTTCTAACCATTTAGAAATACTGTGATGGAATCAAAATTATTTTTAAAATTTTAAATATTTTAAATTACATGAATCGAAGGCAATTACACTGGATCACATTACATGTAATCCACTGTTACAGGTCCTTTTAAACAATCCCAGGTGATGGTTGCTTCCTGAACTTCTCAACTGTAAAAGAATACAAGATTTGTTCTTCATGACACAGGTCAGATTTCACCATCACTTGACAGTTTGATCTATTCACTGAATTAGGTGCAAATAGCAAGAGATTTCCCTTTCTGGGCTAATCACCCATCTTTTTATATACTGTAGAGAAAGAGGCTAGGTCTCCCTATCCATTATCTCCCCATTTGTAAAAGTAAGGGTTTATTCCTTTTGTCTTCAGGACTTTTATCTAACTTCTATTGAAACTCCTAGGCCTTCAGTCAGGCATAATCCTCTCTTGTGCAGTTGTACAATTTCTCATTTTTTCCATCTCCAATCTCACTTGTGGCCTCTAGGTGGTAGCAGAATATAAATCTACATTTTTAAAGCAGTGTTCATCAGCACTGGTGCAGAATACTACTGAAACACAAAAAAAAAAAAAAAGTTTTCCTTTTGTTTTCCTTTTGCTTCTAACTTTTACCTTGTTTTAATGTCAGTCCAAAGCCAAGTCTCTGGAAAATGTGTCCTCACATAGAGATTGCTGAAATCAGGAGGTCCGTTTTTAGATACCGGCATATCATCACCAAAACCATCCTCTATGGGTATCATTCCACCATCTACAAAATAAAATATACTGTCCTACTCCAAAATCTATATTTAGACAGCACAAATAAATACAGTTAAGAAAAGTCAAATTAATATATTGCATGGAGTCTAATCTATAGCTTTGTTACATATGGTAAGACAACTCTAGGATACTAGGAACTTTTTTATTTTAAGAATAAAAAAGTTTCACACAAATTTCTACATGACCTCTGTGGTGGAGTGTGGATGAAACTGATGTAATTTGGCTACACATGACAAACCACTGCAATATATATCAACTGGAGCTGCAAACAAAAACTCCACTCATCCTCAGGCTTTTAGGGGTAATGTCACTGCAGTGAAAAAGGAAAATTGCTGAAATGCTGATCGTATGAATTTTGTATGTCTTCAACCTTTGAAATGGTAATGATTTTCAAGGCTGGATGCAACCTGTGTGCAGCACAGTAAGAAGACATACCAGGGGCCCTATCCCATGGACCTCCTTCCCCACTCAGTAAATTGGATTTGGCTTCATTTGTTATATTACTTACAAAGAAAATGTTCCTTATCCTCCTCAAGAACTGCATCAGTTGATACCCAAAGGCTGCATTTCTGGATAAAATTTATACAGTATATCTCAATACAGGACATTCAGGACATCAACAATGCTTATCTATTTTATTTTTCCTTCTTTCTTTTTAGGTAAATAAAGTCATAAAGCAAGCATAAAACTAAAGCAAATAATATACATAAACCTAAAAAACTGAGATTATATGAATCTGAATATTGCCTTAATAACTGAAAACTTTTCAAAGTGAAGACTATATCAGGCATAAAGCAACCTGTATTTATGGACTTATAAATATGGCATTCACAGTATTACATATTGACAAGATTCACAATTTGAAGCTCATATAAGCCATGAAAACATCACATTGTCTACAGCTGCAAAAGTTAGGAAGTTCACTTTTTTCTAGCAAGTGACGTTCAAATCACTAAGCAGTAAAAAAAAAAAAAAAACCAGCCTAGAATTATGAAGAAAACCCCAGTACCTGAAATACACCAAAAGAACCTCTGACCAGGGGGAAATACTGCACTGTGCTGTATAAATTGAGCTCATGGAGGACCTAAGGAAAAAAAAAAAACAAAATCATCCACAGACTGAATGCCAACTCACATTTTAAGAACTTTCACTGTTGCTCATTCATACAGCTGTACCACGAGCTATAGGTTGCTTAGCTCTCATGCCCAAAAGAAAATAATCTGTGACAGGATGAAGGGGGTTAGGTTGTAGTGGTTTTATGATTAATGGAAGAGTGACCAAGGCTCTATATAAACCTGGAATAAAGCCTACAGCCCATTGATATTTTATGGCACTTAGGCTATGTCCTTTGAGCACTTTAGGAATTATATATATTGTAATCTCTTTCAAATTGTAAATGCAGTAGAGCTTCTGCAACCAAAGGTAATTTGAACATATGAATAATTTATTCTGCCCTCCCAATTAAGAAAAAAAAAATCTTTATTTTATATTATTTATTTTAAATAGCACAAAGAAATCATTAGGGTTGTTTTCTGACATTGTCTTTTCTGAAAGAAGAAACAGCCAAGTCTTAACAATTTACCAAGTGAAGAACAAAGAAGTATTGATTGGAATTGGAAATGCTGTGCCTATTACCTTTTAAGCCTTACAGTCTCTGCCACTCATACGGCTTGCAAAAGTAAAATAAATTGCATAATTACATGTTAAAAATCATGCTCAAAGAACATTGCTTGTTCAGCATATAATCTGTAACATTTCCACAAACATACATCTTTCATACAATAATGACAACTTCCTTTTCCCATATACTTACAGATTCTTCTGTTATGTCACTACTTTCTCCCAGAAGCTTTGCACTTTTATCAATAACTGAAAGTCCAATTACTGATCCTGGCTGTGTTGTACTGATTTTAAGGGAGACTTTCTCAGATGGCTTGGCCTTATCTTTGCTCCAAGAGATTTTAATCTAGAAAAAGTGAAACACAGCACTGATTTAAATTCTACAGTGATATTTACAGCTGTTAACAACTCCCAGGAAATAGGTTTTTTCGATTATTTGGCTATAATTAAGACCCTGGATTTGCTTTTCATAGAACCTTTGGACACTGGAGACCTCTGAGAGTCTTTTTCCTAGGACTTTTGGTAACTTGATAACTCAGGAGGCAAACTGAGACATTTCTCACGCAGCAGGACAAACAGGCTCTCTACTGATTTCTGGTTGTAGGTGTTGAAGTCTCCAGAGCAGAGAAAGAATTTGAACCCATCCAGCCTTTGGATGGTCTCACCTACAAAATGTTATAGGGAGGCCTTTATTTGCACAAAGGACCAAATCTCATCCTGGTAAGCAAGCTGGAAAAATCAATTCAGTGATGCAATAGGCATTTCCCCACTCTTCTTCAAACTTTTTTGAGTTAAAGTATGGATATTCACATGAAACACAAACACTGGTCACAATGTGACCACTACCTGGCTAGAACAAGGTCTTTATAAACTTCTGCAATTATGTAAATTTAATACCCATATGATACCTTGTCACCATATTGGCCAGAGTAACCTTTGGCTCAGTAATTGACCAAACCACCAAAAACACAAGGAGATGCTGTGCATCTGCTTACGTGGAAAACACAGCACCAGTAGAAAGGACTTTCGAATATGCAAAAACTGGACCCCAATTGCACTGGTATCATCAAAAGTCTTTCTAAAGACTTGCACAAACTTCAGGTTAGATCCTCAATGAAAAGTTTTTACATTTACAATCCTATAATCTAAAAGAAAATTTTTTTAAGCTACCACACAACACCCAGACAAAATCATGGTCTCAGATTCAAGTTCAATACAATTACCTTGTCATCCAAAGCAGGCTGGATGGGGACAGTGAGGGCATCATTTACAACCACTCCAAGCTCATCTACGTAGAATACAAGTATAGATATCAAAGGAGCCCAGGAATTTTCTGCTGTTAAAGTGAATGTTTTTGTAGATTTTGTGCCAAAAGCCATAATTTGTTCTTTAGATAATACCTGAAAGAGAAAAAAAAAATTAAACACTCAAATTGTTGGTGTCCTCAATATGTCATCAGCAATTGGTTCTACAAGTAGCTGCTAAAGAAGAGACACATAGCTGTGATTTATTATTTTTTCCACTAACTGGTATGCCAGTTCTCTGAAAATGGGCATGGTATCTGATGTAATATTTAAATAATATATTTTTTCCCATGTTTTAATTGCTGTATCACTATGGACAAGTAAAGAACTACACCAAGTGCACACATATGATATGAGAACATAAATATACAACAGTAATAGGGTTGGCTCATGTGGGTTATCATGTGTAACATGTGGGTTATCATGTGTAACAGCATTTGAGTTTGGATCAGGCACATAGTTTTAAAAGCAAACCTCCAGAACACCCCTACTTAGAACACCTGGTTTGCCTCACAGAGAGTATGAACTAGAGTTCAGTAATGTGTTCCAGTTAATAGTAGACATTCATTTTAACAGATCAGATTAGAGCTAGCCTGAAGCTACTCCTAATACCTGGATTTCAATTGTTTCACCCTAAATTTTTTTCCTACTGGATCATACACTTACTAATGAAGACAGAGAGATGAAGGGCAGCTAGTTCCCTGCCTTTGCTTGCACAGACCTGATTTATTTTAAACCTTCTAGAGAGTGTTTCGAATTTAGAAAATACATATGAATGCCCAAATTTTACAAGGTTTTCCTAATTCAGTTTACTGTTAAAGTCCGTGAAAGAAAAAGAATCCTAGCTACCATGGTTACTAAGACACTAAGATGCAGACTGTGAAAAAGACAGGCATGTGTTAAAGGATGGGAAATTTACCATAGTATATATAATAAATGTTTCTGATCCTTCAAGATACAGTAGAGCAGCTGAGCAATTAAGCCACTACCCAAGACATTTATTTTAAAATGCTTCCTATGAATCTTCCTTGTTAACAATGCCCCTCTGTCCACTCAACCATCTGTTTTCTCAGCAGGCAGCTCTTTTCCCCCTGCACCCACAGGCTGAGCCTGACACTCCTGAATCTGCAGACAGGATCCACTGGGCCCCTGCTTCCATCTGCATCTGCAGGACCTGCTGACAAGGCCACAGTTTGGACTGCTCCTGGGACATCCTTGTCCCTTCTCCCATTGCAGATGCTCTGCACAGTCAGGAACAGTATTGGTCTCACAGCTGTGCCTTGTCTCACATCTGCAAGCAGAGATAACCCAACACCCAGGTCAGAGAAGAACTTCCTTACTCCTAAGGTAGAATAATAGAGTTCCCTTTCAAAAAGGACCTTCCTAGTGGAAAGGAAGGTTTTGGGCCTTCTCTTCCCCAAAGCACATTTAAAAAATGCCAGATCTCAAATGTTTAATCACATTCCACTCACTGGAGTATTTGTCAAGTTGGTAAAGATCACCTTGGATTGTCCCCATATGCAAAGCCTGTAACTTACCAGATAGTGATACTCTCTCACTGGCTTGTTGCTTGCAATGCTCAGCTCAAAAGGCTTCCCAGCCTAGGAAAAGCACACAGTTCATATGGATGAGTATGGAAAAACCATAAGTAACTAGGCTTTAATCGAGGCAAGTTTTGTCTCAGACTGTACCTTTATATCCTGGCTCTTTGTTTTAACCTGGAGGTAAGTCTGACTGGGGGAGCTGAACACATCATAAACACCTATGTCCGTCTTACTGCTGAGGAACTCTGCCTGCAAGACAGTGCAAAAAAAACCTCTTAACAAAACAGCAAAATCTGTGGTGTTCATTTATGTGGTACAGCTTACAAGAGCACGGCAGCCGTAGCAAAAGTCCGCTTTATGCTTTGGGTATCTGGGGTTATTTCCTTTGATATCATGGTGCAATTATTAAATGCAATTATTTGACAGGATCTCTAACTTTCTTTACAGCTGTAACATGAAGTAACAAAAATATCAATAGGTGACAGGTCATCTGTTGCAGATAGCAGGACAGCATATCACTGATCCCAGCCCAGGCAATTTAGTGTGTCAACACTCCAAAGCAACATGCTACAAAGCAGTACCTGAACTCTCAGAGTTTTGGTATCAGACAGGATTGGAAATTCAACATCAATTACTCCATTTGCTGGAACTGTGTAGTTCAGGATATGGACTGTCAGATTTCTCTCCTCTGTTGCCTCATTTTCCAGGTGAGAAAGTGAAGAGTGATGGAAAAGCAGGTCTGACTCTTGTGCAGTGATTGTTACAAGATTCTGCCTCTCTTCAGCTGTCAGCTGGTTGCTATCAGAACGCGACACCTTTAGCTAAACAAAAAGAAAGAAAACACTTATCAAACCCACCAAACAGGGTAAAGTAAACATAGCATGTAACAATGTATTTGCACTCACATCACATTAAAAAAAATAATGCATCCTTAGATTTTTTACAAATTGATAGCTTTATTTCTGTTCCCTAGTAAGCACTGCAACTAGGCAAATCAGGCAAGAACAAAATTATTCATAACTCCAGGGAATAAAAAAAGAGTAAAAGCAAAGTAAATGGACCTGAAAGGAGATGTTGCATTTCAGCTCTCACAATTACTCTTCTATTTGAAAATGTTTGTGTCTCAAGTAAATTATACATATCCTACCTACAGTCTGAATACCTAATTTTATCACTTGCATTTCACCATCACAAGAAAGGGAAATCTAACATTTAAATACGGTAGGAAAATTAGTCAGATGAGCAGAGATAGTGCTGAGTCAGATGTTTTTACGAATTCATCAAATGAGTTGAAGACTGAAACCAGGCCCAAAACTGACAGCGTGCTTCTTCACTCCATCATACATCGATCAGCACTACACCTTAAAACCTTCATGCCCACATTCAAGCAGATTTTCATCCAGTAAAATCATTCTTATTCTGCATTATATACTACAAAAAAAATGAACTTTTATATTTAAATGCACTGAACTAGTATTTCCTTTTTCAGCCCATAGATGTCAGTGCATTACCAGTCCTCCTCAGCCACTATTTCCCTGTTCTCTCTCTGAAGAGTATATGCTCTTCATGTAAGATCTCCACTTTTTAGCAACAGCAGCACTGTTAATTCTCACTTCTTTGGCAGCACAACTGAAACCTTCCTGTCTGCCAGCTGCAAGAATTGACAGACGCTTCAGCTATCTCTCACTCAGTTCACCTTTGGAAGAGGACTAAAAAACAGGTGGATTCAAACTGGGATGCTGGCAAAGAAAATGGAAAGCACAAAAACCAAAAGCCCAAATGATCAGGCTAACATACAGCTACATCTTGAGCCAATCCACTCTGGAAGAGTATATTCAGCCTAAATCACTGCTGTTTAGGTCACATTTCTATACAGTAAAGGCTCAAGAATTGTAAAATTAACTCCCCTTTTCAAGCAAAATGCAGTGATAAAATATGCAACCTCTGCAAAATGTAGAAATACTGAATGCAGATGAAGGACAGAATGAAGAACATAAAATATTTCTATGAGTGGACTGCAGATGGCATGAAAAAGACAGAAGGCAGAAACAACACTTTCACTTGAAAGCAATGTGGTTTGATGAGTTTTAACTGAGTTAAGTAAAAGTTGTTTAAATATACAAATTCACTATATAAAGTATATATTTGTATGTGTGTATGTGTGCATATACATATATATAGTTACTTAGATATACAAATAGTATAAAGAGGTTTGAAAGTTAATAACTAATTTGTTGTTTCAAAGCACAGTCAAAAATAACAGCTAGGGAAGATTTCTCTTCCATAAGAATGCTGATAACTATACACAAATACATCCTACCAAGATTACAGCATTCCCTGCCACTTTACCCTTTTCTAGAGCAAATGCCTCCAAGTTTAGTATTTGCTGATATGTATTGTGAAAAAAGAGAGAATTTGAAAAGAAATTTGTAAACTACACTTAAAAATGCAAGGCAAACTCTGCTATCTAAACATAGAGAAGTCATATTTGTTTATCCACAGATGATAATCAGACAAAACAACTTACAGTAGCTATGAAGTTCAGAGAAGGCTTTATAACTCTAGTGTAGTCCAGAAATTCAATAAAATAGTCACTTTGCTTTGGAAATATGATGGTACTTGAATTTTGGGAGATTCCTGTTGAATAATTGTAGGTGTTTAGACAACATGCACTTAACACATGTATTACTTTAGCAGTGATACAATTTACTGCCCATGACTTGGAAATGATTCTATCACATTTTTCACCATTTCTGCCCCATCATTCTTCATCCTTCTAGCTGAGCATCAGCATAAAAGTGGAATATACACGGGTACTGCCTGCCACAATGCAATATAAGATATACCACACAGGGCTCCACTCACACAGACTGTGTCTGAAGGACACAAGGAAGAAATTCATTAAATCCCTAATCAGCCAGCTTCACCTTGCTGGGGTTTCTACACGAAGTCTCTAATGAAACCGAGTTTCTGGTACATGCATACATTTTGTACACATGATTGTTTTTTCTAATGTGGAAGGTACAGTGGAACATGAACTCACAAAAAACCCTCAGATTGCAAATCAGTCCACCTAGAAGAGGCTAGACTGTGGACAAGCTAGGACCAGGGAACTCTTTCTAATAATGTGGCTTACAAATACACAACATCAGGTAAGTTTATGATTAAAGTCAAGTTTGTGAAATTCAGGCTAATGCTAGCAATTCTTTATGACTGCTTTTCTCACCAAAAATGATCAGTCACTGACTTTAAGCTCCCATCAGAATGTGTTTCTTGGTTATTTAATAAATCATTTAGCACAGTACTGAGTTAACAGCTGGTTAAACTATTAAGTTTCCAGGCAAGCAACATTCAGATAATATATTTGAATGTGGATGTGCTGACATCAGTACATGATATGTTTCCAGAGCTCCAACCTCTTCCACACAGCAGTAAGGCACTCTGGATTTCTGTCAGAAGAGCTCCCACAGCCACACACCTGTGAGTGACTCAGTCACCACCGCGATCATTTCTATCGGCTCCGTGAAATCGCTGTCAGCTTGGTGCCACAACTGCTCGGCATGCAAGTTCTGCAACATCAGCTTGTTACAGGTTACATTCACAGACCCATTTATCTGCAAGGTAGGAAAAAATAACTCTTGAGTCAGAAAACCCAAGGACACTTTTCTGTCTACTATAGCTTATTTCTGGTTAAGTCCTCTAACTCTCTCCACATACAAGTTTTGCAGTGCAAACAACAGAAAATTATGAACAGTGACCCTTTATTTTTTTGCTGTCAGCAGCCATTTTTATTAAATCCAGTAGAAGTTCACTACTTTTTTAGAGGCAAGAATGCTTTATGGAAAAAGTTACTTTTTTTTCCTAATTTCTAGAATTATCCACTTCTACATGGCTAGCGCAGTGGGACCTAAGCTTTACAGAAAAATACAATGAACAAGTTCCTGCCTGAGGAGAGGGGTATACCCTATTCAGCATCTGAGCTCAGAGTTTCTGTAGACTAAGTGCTGCTGAAGACTCTGAAGTCAGACAGTGGCTGAAGCGAGCAAACAGAAAATTACAGTCACTTCATGTAGCAAAAATTTATCCTTTTTTAACAGTCCACGTCTTAAAACTAAAATGTTCTGTTTTGCAACAAGAGTGCAACAAATCTATCACCTCTTTTAAGAGGTTTTCAATCACCTCTTCAGATTGAAACTTTGTGTCTTTCTACATTTCATGCTTCAGGTTACAATTAGTGCAGCAGCTCAAATGTAATTGCTGGCAATTAGTAGGCAAAATGCTTTGGTTTCTACCATGCTAGAGCTCCACCTAGACAACTGGAGTGTTCTCCTCCAGCGTTGTGACACAGGGCTCAGTATGCAGGGGCAGACACAGAGCATTCCTGAGCATGGGTCCTCCAGCACCTATGCAGCTTCTAGAAAATTTTTATACCTGGGTAATTTGGTACACTCCAAAATAACCTCCAGGCACAAGTAAATGGAGCACAGCTGCCAAGTATCATTCCCAACAAGCAGTCTGAATGTAGATGCTTTAGGCTGGAAATTAAAGAGAATTTAACACTCTCCAGCTGAACTTGGCATTCAGGAATGATTCCAAGCATCATTTAACCCACAACAGGACACAGACTTAAAGAAAATACTAAGAGATGACTCACCTCCATTGTTGTTGTTATATTTCTCTTGTTTGTCCAGTAAGAAACAGAAAGGCAAGTGATTGTTACAGTTCCCTTTACTGGCTTTCCATATGTGTACCTGAAACACATCAGGCGAAGTCAAACAACACACCACCCGCCAGTACATGGGCTCCTGAAGAGCTCTCAAGGCAAAAGATCATATTAAAATCTTATTTTCTGGCCTCAGACATGGGCAGAACACATTTCTACTTTGAAACATGGAGTTCGCCATACTGAAACCAGTTTAGAAAAACTAAACCTGGAAGCCCAAAATCTGGAGAAGATACACAGTGCTGCTCTTTCCACTACACGAGCTCTACAAACCTATTAAAATTATCATGGACTGTATGACGTACAAAAGTTAACTATACTAAGCTAAAAGCAAGTTATTGAACAGAACACTGATGTAGCATCATAACTAATATGCAGTAGAGTTAAAATGGGATGTGGGAAGTGTAAGTATTTTGCTTACCAAATACTGCTAACACAAATGGAGATATCTCCAGATATTGTAGTTTTAATATAATAATTATTACTATTTATTTAGTAATCACAGTCTAAAGAAATCATTGCAAACAACATCCAGCTGTGGTAAATCTGCAAAGTGTAACACACTCCCTTCTTAGTATGACAGTAGCAACCTGCAGTCACTGAGCAGCAATAAAATAAAATTTTGTATAAATGTTTCCAAGTTATACTTAAAAGAAACCTCAACATTATCACATTGAAACAGAGAAGTGAAGGAGGGGAGGAATTACATGAGGACAGACAGGACACCTAAAATCATTCTAGTCCTCAGCAGTAATACATGCAGGTGTGGTAACTTTAAAGTACTTTAAGTCACTATGCAGCCACTTAAGTAATATCAAAGCTGAAAAGCAGAAAGAAAGAAAAATCAAACAGCATAGTTACAGGAACAACTCTGATAACACTGTCTGGCATTCAAACTCAGTCTAAGCAGACCTTATTATTAATTACTATAAGATGCCATTAACCTTGAAATTAAGGTTAATTTTGCCATTGGGCAGCATCCCTGTACTTAACTTGATCTAATAACAATCCAGAAAAGAAAATGGGCTTTATGACCTCTACAAGTTGTATAAAGAGGTATTATGTCTCTAAAAAACAGTCATCAGGAATCAAATCATTTTCTACAAATAATTACGATGTATCAGTAAAACTCTGTCACTGCTGGGATTCAACCTCAGATGCTTCACTGGCATCTAAGTATGAATTTCTTGCAGCAAACAGGTACAGTTTCAAACACCTTATGAGTATACCAAATGAAAGGGACAAGTGTCCTGGGGAAGACCAAAACAACCTAAGAAATCAAATATTAGCTGGCATATAATGAATTCCAAAATCAAAGTAGAATGGGGGAAAAAAAAGTGAGGAAAACTTTTTTTAAATTGCCCCTTAGGAGATTCACAGAATCATAGAATGGTTTGAGATGGAAGGGATCTTAAGGGTCATATAATTCTAACCCCCTTGCCATGTACAGGGATGCCTCCCACTAGATCAGGTTGCTCAGGGCTCCATCCAACCCGGCATTGATAGTTTGTAATATCAGGTTGCATGGGCTCTATAGAAAGAAATGTTTTCTCAAAGTCCAAACATTTAATTTAAATAGCCTGCTAAACAATGATTTCTGCATTTAACTTGTAAACTGAGTGCTTCTTCAGAAGGTATGTATTTTAAGGCATTAGATAACCCACAAAAGACCCTTTATTTAGGTCTTCTTGGATGGATCTATCAGGTAGCTCTATCTGGCTTTCATCTCCAAAAATAAAATTAATTTCTGAGATTAATGTGTAGTAATTTTTTGTCTAGATATTTGCTCAGCTGAAAAATAAAATATTATTTACACAGTAGTCTACACTGAAGCCTCTTCTGAATTTCTCAAACGCTTTTAATTCTTTACCTATTTATGGCTATAGGTATTTTGATATGAGAAACCTATGCTTGAAATCTGCAGTGCTGATTTATTGGAACAAGGAGGATGTTAATAGAAGTTTGCCTAATTTTCCAAGTTGTCTAAAAAATACAGCTACTGTACCTACATATCTTAACATGGCAAATTGGAGAGTACCATAAAATAACATAACTACCATAAGAACAAAAAAAAAAAAAAAGCATCAAAATACATATTACAAGTAAGAAACTTAAGAAATTTTCAAATAAGGTAGCTGAAAATGTATAGCTATAGTCTGGAACTACGTTTACCAGACCAAAAGAACTTACTAGAAGTCTGAAAATCTACAGAATCTTGTTACAACAAAATCCAGTAACTAGAAGCAGATACTAGCCAACTAATTTTGAATAGATGGGGCTTCATTAGCATTCTATTTTTTACTTTGACACTTAGAGAACACAATAAGTTTCTTAAGAGTGAGGGTGACAACAGTATCAGTGATTTACTTACTTTGCAGAGACAACACCAGTTACATCTTCATCTCTCAAAGAGTAGTATAAGGGAGTTGTTATCATGACATCAAATTTTGGTAAAACTATAAAAAAATCACAAGAAGCATTAAATTCACTGAAGGAAAATTTCTTTTTTTTAAGTAACAAGGGTAGAACACGTAATTTGATAAAGACTACTAGTTCCTAAGTTTCCTAATAAAAGGTATGGTGCATTTTTAAGCCAACTGCCCGACTATGAGTTTTTGTTGAAAGGAGAAAAAAGCATCATAAGAACAGCTCACATATAAGCTTCTGAGTCTGAAAAATAGAACATTTAGCTTATTTAGCCTTTACATCAGCAAGCTTCACAACCAAATACTATACAGATATTTTGGGAGCAGATAAACAGGGCAGCTCATAAGATATGATTTTTTGTCAGCCTCAGAGAAGCCAAAGGTTTGGAAATTTAACTTTCTGTGAGTATTTAAAATGTTCATGTCAGACAAGGGAAGCCAGTGTAAATTAATGGAGAATCACTACTAATTTTGGTCACTACTAAATAACACTTACCATATTCCATCACTTTAAATCTTTGATAATGAACTTGACCCTATTGAAAAAAATTCATATGAGAATATACATACAATTGTGGTTACATTAGTAAATTTAACATACCTTCTTGGCCAAATCCCACCCATATTCAAGTTAAACTACAATTTATGAAATGGTGTGATTTTAAATCATGGCTCAATCACTATCAGCTCCTGTAGAGACCAGCAATACATTTTTACAGAACAGAGGGACACAGAAGTTAATGTGAAGCAGAATCTGAGTATTTATCACGAACAGCTTGTGCAGCTTCCAGTCTGAAGACATCTATCTACGTATGTCTGGTTTCTCTACTAAAAAAATTGAATACCTGAGCTAGTTATCATAAAACTACCTAGCATAAGTAGTCACACTCATCATCATAAAACATGACTGACATACCAGCACCGTCTTTGCTAGCACATCTTAAATTAGCTTGTACAAACAAGAAGCTCCTACAGAGTCTATCTAGTGGATGAAACTATTTCTAAACCTTTTATAATCTAGTGATTCTACATTTACTCAAAAGGTGGCTGCAGTTTTGTTACAGTCCACAGCTATACTTACTTCAGCAGAGATACCCTTGTGTTTTATGCTCTTGTCTCAGCTATTTGTTACTTAAAATCAAGGAAAGAAATCAAGGAACTACATAATGTGCTGTTACTTGTGTTCTCTTTTATTTTCCTATTTTTCTACATTTTTCACTCATTTCCTCCAGGAGGGAAAAGAAAAATGAATATGGATAACCAATTGTCAGGAATCAAGATGCATCAGATAGGAATGACTGTAGCAAGGGAGGATAAACTGAGAACTCCTATGGTAAAAACCCTAGGACCAGGACCTAAAATGGAAACAATTATGAATTTTTGTTACCTGATCAACAACTTTGCAAGTTAAGCACCTCAGACCAAACCTGTATTTACACACCTCCTAGCAAAATACTCCTATCAAAGTAAAAATCAGATTGCTGCTAATGTGATGATTAAGTCACTGATCACCAAAATAACTGACATATATTCCTAGGTTTGAAAATATACACGCAGATTTAGCTATTTTCACAACATTTTTGCAAATCGTAATATTTGCAAGGCAAAATGCTACAGCATGGACATGCATAAATCAGTCCACAATCAGATTACTATCAGGTAGTCTTAGGAAGATGTATCTTAGGGAAATGTCCTGCAGTGAATTCATCTCACGTCTTGTTCCCTGTACAGCTTTTATTTCCAATACTAAGTATCTAATTTATTTGCCATAAAGCAAACCCTGAACAAAATGTTACCCCAGACAGCACAGTTAAAAACCATCTCCCTTGAATATAAAATATTGTTTCCTATTATCTTAGAAGTAAAAATAAAAATGCTTAAAGTACAATTAAAAACTAAGATAAGTGTAAGTAGTAGAAAACAGAGATTACAGTGAGACTAGTACTCCTGGCTGCATCTTCTCTAAAATGACAAGCTTTGTGACAGAAATCAAGCAGTGCTTGATAGTTCAGGGAAAGGCAAAGACCCTACTTGGTCATCTTGATGATGTGAATACCAAGCCAGATTTTCCACTGACACATTTTTTAGCCAAGCTGGTCTGATGTAGGACAAGTAACAGCATTTCAACCACTCTATCATTTTAGTTCATTCGGGCAAGGCTATCTCTCTGGCATATTGTTCAAATATACCGAAGTGGAAGTTGTTAAACCAGTTTCCAGCAACAGTGGCTTTTGAGACAAGCAGTTAGTCAGTTAGTTATATATGCACAACCCAAGAGAGATTTTTAGAGGTTTTCTTTAAGATAGGAAAACAACACCAAGCCTATTCCATTTTTTCCAGAGCTGCTTCATTCTAGTACAGGTTTGTCTTCCATGCCTTCTCCTGCTTCTTAACTACACTCACCCTTCCAGACTAACAACATTTTGCTCTAAATCAGCATTTCTTAAACTGCAGAACACCTACTGCATTCTATGCCAATCACCCAGAGTAAGAAAACAGTGGCAAAGGGATCCATAGAAGTGCTCTGGGATGATGAGGATAAGCCTTTCTGCAGGGAAGCCTTAGATGCTGTGTATCCTAACATCCAAGAATCCCTAAAAACTACAGTCCAGATTCTGCTCTGCTGTCATGAACTGCCCTGTTTTAATTCACTGGGTCTGATCCAATGAAAGTGAGGTCACAGGAACCATTCCCCACAGATTTTTTTTTCTTCTTCGGCAACTGAAAGTCCCTGAAATTAACCTGGTCTGGTTCCATTTTCTTATTTGTTTCTGACATTGACATGCATTGCTGCTAGAGCACAGGGGAAGACTCTGGGTGTGGTCCAGGGCTTTGCCTTGGAAAAGCACAGTGCTGGCACCGGCTGCATTCCTGGGGCTGCCTCATTGTCTCACAGGCCCTGTCAGGAGCACTCTTCTGCCTTGGCTGTGCAGCTAAATAAAACAGACTTCTGTCTAGACAGAAATAACAGAAGCACTTCACGATCACTTCCATGCTTTGTTTTCACATGCAAGAAGCAAACACCAAAATGAAATTCTGTTCAAATTCAATAGTGCCGTCTCCAGAAATTAGTCAGGGTCCCACCAGTGTCACCACTATTTATTATTTTCTTAATATCTGTGTACATTTGCAAACTACTGAATACTCAGGCAAAGGCTTTATGTACAGTCTGATTTTGAAGAAGTGTGACACATTTTTCAAGCAACTATATATACAACACTAAATTTAACCCATCAAATGTGAAATCCATAACTGATCTAGCATAAAACATGACAGAATTCGCTGTGGCTACACTGCAACGTATATTAAACCTCAAAAGCTAAAAAATTCAACATGTAAAGTATATAATCATTCCCAGTTGATTCTGAAAGTTTGCTTTACAGCTGAAGCTTTAAAAAAAAAAGTAATACTTTTAAAAATATTTTGGAAAGCTCTTGTTGCACCTGAAACATTACTACTCTTCAATATTTGATCATAAATTTATCCATAACAACTTCCATAAATTAGATTACAAAATGCCATTTAACCAGAAACAACTTCTGGTTGGAGGTGCATGCTACAAAAACTCAGCAACTAGAAGTCTTTCAGCAACAGGAAATATAAGATATCCAACTAAAATAAAAGGTAGAGACTTGGAAACCAGACCGTAATTACTCTGTCTTGAGTTTTCCTGGAACAGCTGTGCTAACACCTGAACTTTTATTAAAAATACTACAGGATGTTTAACAGCAGCAAGCAGCCAAAACCTGATTTAAAACAGAATTCAGAGGAAGCACTTCCAAAAATCAAGACTCAGTACACTTGGAAACTGATCTGTAATCATGAGAAAGGAAACGTTATTTAATCACTTAACAATTCTTGAAAGACAAGAGGGAAACTGAGAAAGAAAGGCTGGCTATTTAACTAGAAAGCCCAGGTCATGGCACCAGGATAGCTAAGTCATACATAGATCAGTCTGGGTTTGCCATATGAAGATGTTCCTAAAGCCTCAACAGATCCATAAGCTGGCTGGATGCCATCCAGAGCCAGAGCTGGCAGTACTAGTTAAGGAGAGGAAGACATATCTGTTAAAAATCCCAGTCATATACTAAGCCTTCCTTAGCAGTAAATCTAAGTTCTCAGTGGCCTCTCTTATCAGGAAGAATCTGAAAGAGCCTGAAAGTAAACGTAAAAATTTCTGTGTGGGACTTGGAGTTGCTGTTCTATTCCCAAAGGATAAGCACTGTAAGAATAGCCATTTTTATTGGACACCATGATATAAAACCTTTTTTTTTTTCCTTATGTATAATATACACTTTTTTTTCTCCCCTATCTTAATTTTCAATTCAAAGAGTTTAAATGCCAAAAGGAACAATTTAGCCTGATCTCCATTTAACACAATTTTGCTACCTTTGTATTCAGCTACTCCAGCAATCTATGTTGTTATAATGCATCTTCCATAAAGGCAAGAATAGAGAACACCTAGGGAACTGCATCAACCAGGACAGCCAGGAGTGACACTATGTCTTGAGCTGACACCTAAGGCCCTTTTAACTATCAATTCTCAATGGAGTGTACTGAGAATTTGTCCGGACCCTTTTTGATCCCATTTAAATTTTCAGCATTCACAATAACTGCCAGTGCTGTGCTCTGCAGCTCAGTTATGGTGTTTCAGTCATTTTGAAATCACTCTTTACCTCCCCTACCTGATGCCCTTTAGCTATATGTTGAAACAGACAGGAACAAAACATTCTCTGTTTACTTTCTCCGTGTTATTCATGACTTGAGAGACATTCTCACTCTGACATATATTTTCCAAGATCATTAACCTTCTGTAGCATGGCTAAAATTTAGAATACAATCAACTACACTCTACTAAGGTTTCACTCCAGTTGTCTCCCAGCTGTTTCATTAGCCCAGATGAATTTACAAAGCATTTTTCTTTCAACTTTTCAATTTTTTTTTCTTTTTGGTTTTATTTCAGGAGGGAATGGCACTCATTCAGATCCTGAAAACAGCTGCCACAATTCCTTCATCAATTATCTCCTAATTTCAGCATTATTCAAGCCTTTGCAGAAAGGCCAAGCAGCACTTCACAAACACTTTTTGCTTGGCATTTGAGCTGTTGAAGGAGCCCACCACTGCCACCAGCCTTTGCCTCCAGGTCCGAGCCACGCTTCCCCAACTGCTGAAGAGCACCTACAATAGCTGTGAGTGGGGATGGCTTCCCAGCTGGATCAATGAACTGGTCTGGTCTAGGCCAAGAAAAACACAAATGCTTTTCAGTTTGGGTCACTTCCCCACTGCACTTTGAGTCTCAGCCTGACTACAGCTGCTTCAGAATGGCTGAGAGGCCACTGAGAGGCAGGGAATGGGAAGGAGTGGCAGAGCACAGGGAGGAGCGCAGGAACAACTTCATACATTTTTCCCATCACAGACAACAGCAACAACTCCACACCCACATGACAAAGTGTTTGAAAAATCCAGTCCTGACATTCACTTGAGCACCACCCTCATATGCCTAAGCCCATAGAAATCTATCAAACATATAACTGGTACTGGCAAATGTTGCTCCAAAGCAATACATGATCATGTGAGCTTTTCTCCTCTCTACCCATCATCTCCCCCATTATGTAACATTAAGCAATCCTGTTTATACTTGCTAAATGTCTCTGAACAGCCACTGCAAGCCAAATAGGAAATGCAGTTCCCAAATTATAGGTACTAAAAAGAAGGCTGAATAACCCTGACACACAGAGTTTTGAACAGCTAAACCTCCAGCTATTTTTGAAACATGTTCCATGGTGTATGAGCAGTGCAACAGCCTAAAGGACTGGCCTGAGAGAGCTACTACCAATAGCAACATGCAACACAGACTCACAGTTTTGTTTTGCAATAGTCCTGTATTACTAGTCATCCTTTCTATTTTACAAAGTTATTTTTTCCTCAGTAACTCATCAGTCACTGTGAGTTGCTGTGAAACACACCTAGAACTAGGCAAAGATCTATAAATAGTCTTGGTTCCTCAACCCTTGAGACACTGAGTGGCTGCACAGCGTGGTACAACAAATATCTGTGTATTTGCTTGCAAATAAATGTATGGGTATTTCACTTAAAAAGGAAAAAACTCTACTCCATGAGATCTTTCTTTTATATTAATATTACAACTCCTCACTTTTTTAATGCCATTTTTATTCCGGAACCAAAGCACAGACCTTAGGATAAAGTATGTACATGGGTTTTTGCATCCCTCCCTACAAAACCATATACTATTGAAAATCTTGTGAGGTTTGCATAGTATCTTGCCCAATATTTGACACAAGGGAAGGATTTGCTCATCTCATGATCCATGTTTATAACTGGTTTCAGCAACATAAACACAATTTTATACACATTTAGCAGAAGAAATAAATCTCACTGTGATTTGGCAATGTTAATACTCACGTTCACTTCCACTTCTATGGACCAGTCTCCTAGTGGAGGGTTCATTGATAACTGAAATTTTTTGGAAACTACACCCAAATCACCCTCCTCCATCAACCACTGCTGAATCAATTTCTTCCGAGGATCCTAGGAGAAAAGTCAAGCTGCATGTTAAATGTGAGTGGCCTTGATAGAAGACTTAGGTAGCAATACATATGATCTGTATTTGTCAGAAATTTGGAACACGTGACACAATCTAAAATCTAACAGTGCTCCTGTGGACACTTACTCGGATATATATATTCAGATACACTTGGTAAGGTTTGAGATCAGGATAGACAGTGACAATCCGGAAGAGCACATCTTGTCCTGGTTTATACATGGATTTATCAGTCTGGATGAACACGGAGGTGCTCTTTGCCATGAACATCAGGCTGGTACGGTTAGAGAAGACGTGCCGGCCATCAGCACGGCCCTCCACCAGTAATTCGTAATTCCCAGAAACACTGTTCAGAGGCAGCTTAAAAAGAAATAGTGACATTAGGCATCCAAAATATTTTTGAAAACACTATAATTTAAAAAACATTTGACATACAGGACTAATATATACCTGAATTTGTCAACTTACATAGATTATAAAAAAGAGAAAGGGGGTTTTAATCATTACTTTAATGTATTATTTCAACAATTACCAGAAAATGTCTTATCAGAAGTACAACAACACATTTCCATCTAATTTTAAATAGTAATCAGGTTTTCAAGAATTTAAGTATCTATGCATTCATATACAATTCACAGCCTTACACATGCATTGTGTAAGGCTGTGAATTGTATATGAATGCATAGATACTTAAATTGTGCTGTCTTTTTTAAGCTATTCAGAAATTTCTTTGGTTTGATATAATGGGCTAATGTTTTTCTTCATCACTTTTTGCTATGAAATTTTCCAAAAATAAAATATCTGAAGAAGGTACATGTAAGCAAGATGAGCAGGACAGTAGGAGAACTTTGCACTTGTTTTTTTATAGTCTTCAGCTTTATGTCCTATGGAATAGAAAAATCAAATACAGAATTTCTTTTTCATAAGGTGAGGTACTGCTTTTCAATAGCAACGTCATTGATTTGGTCTCATTTCACTTTCATAATTAATAATTACAGCACATACTGTGACTCATTTAGAATGTAAAATAATTTTCTTCCAAAAATATTAAGAAATAAAGGAACATAAATTTTATATGGTTAACTTTTTCTGGACAGACATTGAAGGCTCCTTCAGTGCTGGCAGAAGAGACAGATATCACTGGCAAGGAAATTTAGACCACATAAGGTCAGAGTAATCACTCACAGATTTCTTCTCTCTCTCTGTCTTTCCAGTGCACAGAGGAAATCTAGAGCTCATAATTCAGATGCATCACTTCGTTTCCTAAAGTTAGCTCGGGGGAATCCCAGTCACAGGGGTTGAAAGGCTTAAAGCAGAGATGCTGCAGCACACTGGAGTTTTACTTGAGCAGAGCCTTCACAGACAACCACTGACCCCAGGGACACCCCAGCCCAGATGCTGGCTTCTGTACCACCAGAATGTCTCTTTGGAGAAGGGGAAGGGCTATAACACTGCACACAGCTCATTCCAACAAGCAGCCCTGCTGAAAAGCTTAAGAGTCACATGCTTCTGTTTGGAGTTGAAACTGTAAATCTGGAGTAAAACTTCTGAAGTTAAGACAACTAAAAACAGGCTTGCATTTTTCTGCATAACATATGGAACTGAAGCGCTCCTCTTGCAGTGTAATGAAAATTACAGCTGTTAACTCAGCAGGTACTGCACTTTAAAAGTATCCTACCAAGTGCTATAAAGAAAGGCTGTACTGCTGTCAAAGCTCATTTTAACAGTGCACACTGAGGCAACAGGGATTCAAAAACATGGGAAAATGTCACTGGGTGACAAATAAGGTAGATGCAAACACCTGTAGTGAATACATTCCCTTCTCTGTGTGTTTACCTATAAAGAGGAATCAACTACAATTCCATCCCTCTCTATTAACTTTCTGTTTTTGAAACAAGCCAGGAAAAGAAATCAAGGGGGGAAAATAAAAAGGGCTCTTTTTCACCAATAAGCAGGTCTATGGTGACATGGGAAGAAGAGATGCCCCCTTTAGAATCTGGATTTATAGAATTAAATTTTAGATGCAGAGTTCCACACTGAAAAGGATTTTGCATTTTCTCTAACTGCAGGTTTTTGTACACACATTGCCAAGAACATATGATTCACATATTTCAACACCCTCCAAATTTCATGCCAAGTATTCTCTTAAATAAGAGGAATATCCTTAGCTACTGCCTCTGTGAAAGACTACCTTATTATTACCTCAAATATTCATTTATGAATATTACTATTTCTTAAAGAAGCTGTAATCCCTAAAAATCATATAGGATTCACTACAAGAAGTCCAGGACATATTATAATAATTCAAAATCAAAATGGGGGAAAATAACCTTGTTTTGTTTCATCATTGCAGTGAATTGTACTCTTACAGGATTATTTTGCTGCAAGTATTGTCTTCAATTTCTTCTTTAAAAATGTAAATCTTCTATAAATGCGATTTAGAGACTTTATCTATTTTCCTGTATCCCTTTACTGCCATAAATAGTGATAGATAGCATAGGTTTCTCCCTAGATTTTTATACTTGTTATATTTCAAAAGATCTTTCCTTCCCAGACATGGTTACATAACTGCCTTTCTTGGTGTAAAGGTCAGAGACAATGAGGTTTGCATTGCCATGGCAGTGCATTAGGACAGCTGAGGTGCAACATAACCCACCTTCTGTTTCACATATTTATGCCACCAGAAACTGCAGTAATACAACATTTCCACAGTTTCTACAGTAATAGTGACTACCTCAGCCCCACCAACTCCTTCTCTAAAGGGTTGTTTCTCAACCCAAATATGAGCAAGAGACATTAACATTAAGTAGTAGGAACTTGTTGTGAAAATATTTTATCTTAGTCAAAACATCCCAAATGAATGGTATTACTATCCATATTTTGGCAGCCCCAACACAAGAGAGAAAAAGGCCATCTCACGTACTTCTGACTACACCAACCACCATCACGAGTACCTCAGACAAAGCAGCTACTGTTTCCTCTGGAAAAGATGAGGCTGAATCCAGAAACTCATTACTCACCTTCTGCTACCAGCAAATTACACTTTGGACAAAATCTAAGTCTACTGTGGCTACACCAATTAATAGAAAATCTTGTAGTTAAAAAATGAGTCAGTTTTAATCTCTTCAGATAGTGAGAGGGGGAGGAAAATACCCTGCCTAGTTTTAGGTGCTTGAACATTTTAAGACCTGGCCATTTAAGACCAGATTACATTAAGGAACTTTTTTTTTTTTTTAATGAAAAGAATTTTCTACATTTGCTAATGTATAGTTCATACAGATGCATTTCAACCAAGTAATCTTCATAATGCTGAGCTGCTCATTGTCATTGATTATCCAGCTATCAAACACTTCCAGATTACTTAACCAGAGACAGTTTATTTGAGATCAGAACTTAAAACCACCGGATTATGGGATACTCAGACTTCTGGATGATTTTGGTAAAACGTTTTTCCTGATATAAAAACATAATTCTTTAGATTGGGTTTTCAAGATGAATATCCAGGATCATAAATTCAGGATTCATACGCAACACAAGATTCAAGATACCCTTTTGGGGTTTTTTTATGTACATTCACTGAGTAAGGATTTCCGAGCCCTTAGAAAGATTGTATATAAATATATTTTTATTTTGGTATTTCTCAACTGTTGCTTTACACAATTTTTCAGCTGTAATTAGCCTTCATGGTGTGTCTGAAATACAGATGTAGATATCAGCCAATAGAAAAAGCCACAAAACAAATTTCTGTGTTCAAGTTCTATGATAGTTTGTGTTGATGCTGGAAACCAGCTCCCAAGTCCTGTAATTACTTCTAACAAGCTGCAGAGCATTTGATCTGAAAAACCCTTGATTTACTGGTCAGTAAATGCACTCATCTGACACTGAAAACAACTGGGATCACATGCAAAATATACCGTCAACACCAATGAGTGGTAAGTTAAAGGCAGTCAACATTTTCTAAGGAAGGAGGGAAGGAAAAAAATACTTACTACTGGAAGAACAAGAGTCCCAAAGGTACCTGAACAAAAAGGAAAAATATCACACAGTCAGAAATCTGTGAGATTAACTACCACACATTTACCAAAACATCAACATTACAGCAGTGCTGCTCCCCTTACATGGTTGATGGAAGATGTGCGGTATCTTTTGCAGTGCTGCAAAAGTATCAACACCAACTGACAGCAACATGACTTCTCTGTCTGGTGGGGGCTGTTGTCCATGTTCTCAGCTTGAACATTTTTCTTTACATCCACAGAGACTGAAACACTTTTACAATCCATTCAACCCTCTATGCCACCCAAGTTATTATTTTCCATGGATTCTGCAGCCCAGATAAAGACTAAAATTTTTGAAACCATGCATAGGATTTATCACTCTTAAGGAAAGGAGAACCCAGAATTAACCTCACGGAATTATGTCACCATGGGAAAAAGCAACTAACATATCAATATATTTGGGTTAATATAACTTATTGCTTTAACTATTTCAAATAATGTGGCTTCAAATATTTTTAGAATCCAAATAAATGTCCTGTAAAACTCCTGGATATCATTATATCATGAAGCCATTAGTGTCACAGCTCTTATCTTAATTACATCATGAATTATAGAACAGAACAGAATAGAACAGAACATTCCAGTTGGAAGGGATCTGATGACTTCAGGGCTCACCAAAAGTTAAAGCATGTTATTAATGGCATTGTACAAAATCCTCTTAAACACTGACAGGTTTCAGACATCAATTACATCTCTAGGAAACCTGTTCCAGTGGTGGACCACCCTCCCAGTAAAGAAATACTTCCTAATGTCCTGTCTGAAGCACCGCTGCTGCAGCTCTCACACCTCGTACCACTGGATACCAGGCAGAAGAGATCCCACCTCTGTCTCCACTTGACCCTCCTCAGAAAGCTGTAGATAGCAACGGGAGTGCCCCTCAGCCAGACTAGAGGAACCAAAGCCTTTAGCTGCTCCTCACAGGACATGCCTTTGAGCCCTGTTGCCAGTTTTGTTGCCCTCCTCTAGATGCACTGAAGGACCTCCTAAAGCTGGGGGACCCAGAAGCACATAGAGTACTCAAGGTGAGGCAGCACCAAGGCTGAATGCCATGGGATAATCACCTTTCTTGACTGGCTAGTGATGCTGTGCTTGATGCACCTTCAAGTACGTGGTTCCCCCTCTTGGCTGCCAAGGCACACTGCTGACTCATATTTGCTTCGGCTCATCCTATTCAGTTAGACCTTTTTGTATCTCTAAAAAGTCACAGGTTTATACCTATCTTTTACTGAGCTGTTTCATAGAGTAAGGAAAAAAAAATCTATTTATTTATTTATTAATGTCCTCCTTGATCCTGGACCTAAAGGCATTGCTTCCAAGATAAAGCAATCACTCGACCTCTGAACTTCAATAAATGTTAGCTTTAGAAGTCAATTAATTATTTCCTTTGACAATGGCAAACAGAAGGAATCTCAGTGAACTGCATACAGGTTGTCCTCACTGCTTCCAGAGCACTAAAGGGAAAATGCTATCCAGTATGTACCATCATCCAAATTATAAACTGGGTTAAACCAAATGACTCGCATCCCACAAATTAAGTCTGTGGGTAGCACACTCCAGTACTTCATTCTGGTACTCAAAACCTTAACAGGCATGGGCAATACTGGGCCTAAGGAACACAGTTCTTTCCACAACATGTTTATGTTGCTGTTAAACCTGTATTTTTTTATATCATCTCTCACTTCACTTGAGAAGCATCTCATGCAGTCATTAACTCTGAGCAACCTCACTGGCGCTTGAGGTTTTCCACACAGCAGTGTCTGGCAAAATACTTTTCTCAGTAGCCAGTGTAGAGGACAAACTGCCCCAATTCACAGTGGTAGGGAGCCCTCACATTTGGCACACAGAGAAGCATTATGAAGTCTTGCAGAGTACCTGATCCACAGGCAATGTAAACACCTCTAAATGCACTGATACATTTATTCCCAACATCTACCCAAACAACTCCATGCTCAAACAATTGCACTAAGAGATATAATTGTAGCTAGCAGCAACTTTTGTCTTCTTCAGGACAGAGTGAGTTACTGCTAAGTAGGAAAAATTTTTCTTAGGACATTATATTTCATTGTAAAGGAAGATGCATTGTAAATAGCAACAGAGATGGTACAAAGTTACTTCCTGAAATTTCTCTCAGTTATACACTAAAATCCTAACCCTTCTCTTGTTTCTTTCCCTCTCTGAAATAAGACTGTGCTAAAGCTGGGGTCTGTACAACCACAACCCATAACACCAAAGGAAAAAAAAATCTTTGTCACTGCTGATAATTGGTTATGAACAAGGAATAGAAACCATTTACCACGTGTGTCTGAGTGGATATGCACAGGGTTATTCTGCTACACTAGCCTTAATCTAATCCACACAACTAATTACAGCAATGGCTACAGGAGTGACTTGACCCTGGGAGACACAAATCTGATATTTTTACCACAGCCCACACCATGGGGTTTCTATTTCCATCTTTACCCCTCCAGTGCAAACACACTGGTACCCACACACCGCAAGGGCAGAGTGATGAAGGGAACCGCTGTGGCAGTCCTGTGCAGCATCCACCAGCTTGCAAAGCAACCTTAGCAGGGCAGGCACTTCAAAGTGTTCTCATCAGGGCAGTGCCTGCTTGCCTCCACCTGTTTTGAGAACAACTGGCATGAAAAAAACCAGAAATCTTATGGCAGGGTTTCTTTCCTGTTCCCAAGCCTGGGAGATCTAACATCAGGTCTGAGCTAGGTAAAAATGTAATGCAGATGGGGAAAGACTTGGGGAGGAGGGAGATTTATATCACAGTTGCATTTGTGCAACTCAGGATTTACCTTCAGAGGCAGTGCTAGGGAGCCACAGCCTCCCTGTAACAAAGCCCAGAGCACTGTCTAATTCCCAGCCAGTGAGAATCATAAAAGAGGCTCCAGGGCATGAGGTAATCTTCCAATTTATGTCACTACGTAATTATTTTGCTACGAATTGAGCAGCCTGGGCAGATCTGAAATTCTTTAGCATTGCAGAGGATTCTCCTGTCATGCAAGATTTTCCCATGTTCTCAGAGACTATCAAGCTGCAGTCAAATCCCTGGAGCTCTGTTCAACTATGCCCAGGGATGACTTTGGACATGCTCAAGCAAGAGCTAAAGGCAAAACATTTCCTTTACGCCAGTGCTGAATAGTGGAAAGTCACAAATTTTTCTGTTCACTTGATGAATTAAAGTTATATTTAATCATTCTGCAATTTCAGGTTTATAAGGAATTAACCATGGTCCAACAGCTAGCACATATCACTGCTCTGCTGCAAGCCCTCCTGTTGTGTAGCTGACTTTTACCCACATGCAGCATGCAACACTCCCACAAGATCAGTCAAGTCTGGCATCTATTGTCGCCAGAAATGGCAGCAGTCTCTGTCTTCTTCAACACATCTCTGCAAAGAAACCCTTCAGTTATAAAATACAGGTAGCTAACTCCAGGCAGAAGAAGCAAGTTTAGAAAGGAGCCTGGAACAGCTAAGCCACCAACACCAAGCACTGCAAACCACAAAATGCTTCCTCCTGACTCATTGCATCTGCTCTCCGCAGCAGCAGTCACCAGCACAACTGGAGTGGGACACAGCAGGGAACAACCAGGCAAGAGCACACGTCCCTGCTACCACAAGAGATTAGTTAGGGAATACCTCCAGCTGGGAATCATGACTTTGTTTTACAAAGAGGGGGGAGACATGAAAAATTCAGTGGACTGTTACAGACTAATCTTGAAGAAAGTGTAAAAAACAAACTACCAAAAATCCCAACAGAAGTCACATAAGCCTTCAAGAATAAAATCTCTCTCCTTGTCATTTGCAAAACCATTTCTTTCACAGAATTTCTGAGACTGCATTCATTCAATAACTACTGCACTGAGAAAATACACAGAAATACAATGGAAACAAATGCCACACTGTCCTGCACATTTTCCTCAGAATCCCTGGCATTTAGGAATGTCCAGTAGATGAGGAATCAAAGTGTGGGAGTGACATGTCAGCAGTATATTATTTTTCCACCCTGCCATTTTTTGTCAGTGTAATAGTATTATTATCAATAAAGCAAATATAAAAAATTCTACATAAAACACATTAATTTTTTTTTTTAGATTTATGGAGAACAGCACAAACAATGGCATCTTAAATTCTTCCCACTGCATGGGCCTGACCCAGACCCAGAAACTTATGCTACCCCTTCTTGAGATGACACTATTAGGACTAGTCATAAATTTTTAGCTTCCACCCCCAAACAGGACAGAGATTCTAGAAAAATAACTGTATGGCTTGGCACAGTGAACTAGAGCTTGTGCCAATATATCAGTAAAGCAGCACTTCAGTCTCTTATTTACACACATTCAGCACTGACTGTATATTCTAGATCATGTAGCAGCTATTGCTACAAACAGATTTTCTCACTTAAACTTTTCTACCTATGTCCTCAATCCTTTTTCATAATGTGTGAGAACAGAAAAATATGGAATCACTTCAGATTGATTTACTGAAATTATGCCACATCTTTGCTCTGACAGCTGTGTTCATATATCCATGCATAGGAAATGGATAAACATTACAGAAAAAAACATTTTCTTTGCAGTTATTTTCTACTGCTGAATCAATTTCAAAAACTCTCACCATATAAATAAAAATTAGTGTTCTTAAATGTCCTTCCAGATTTTTATTCCTGTCCAAAGTATATACTATTTTTTGTGTTTAAAAAATAATTTTAAAAAAATTTAAAAAAAAAAAAAAAAAAAAAAAAAAAAAAAAAAAAAACACAGAAAAGCAGTAATATGAAGGCCTAAGCTGTCCAGGAAGTGAAAACAATTTATTCTTCAAAGAAGACCTGCAAATCTGTTGAGTTCACTGTTTGCTTTAAATATGTTATACTCTTCATCTATCATGCTAAAGCTAACACCCAAATTAGTACTGATTATTTACACAATAGCCCAAAATACAGAGCTTAAGCCAC